CAATGCACTACGCTCCTTTTCTCTCAATTAAAGTTCGCTCACCTAATTAACACCAGAGTACTCTACTTTCTCAATCTCCCCCTCTACCTCTGAATGAGTCATTTATGTGTGTGTGTGTGTGTGTGTGTGTGTGTGTGTGTGTGTGTGTGTGTGTGTGTGTGTGTGTGTGTGTGTGTGTGTGTGTGTGTGTGTGTGTGTGTGTGTGTGTGTGTGTGAACAAAAAAGAGATAGAGAGATGCTACGAGGCGTTATCTCAAAAGTGAAACATAATGAGACATGATAGATGAAGCTGCCGGGGAGAAACCGCCTTAGTGTCTCGAGAGAGAAACCTATATTATGTTCCTGGGCGACAGAAACAGAAACCTCGAGTGTCGAGGTGAAGTTGAGAAATATACTAAAGAACCCAGGTGCGACTACTAATGAACTCATGTAGAAACCGGTGTTTCAACCATCGTTATGACAGGACAAATTTCAATCACTGGCCACGTCACGCCGCACTTGAAATAAAAATCCCTCGCGCTATATAAACATCTGTAAGTCAGGTAAAGAAAGACGGGCACTGGGGTCACTAAACGTTGCCTACAGGCGTGAAGACGACGTGATCATCGCCTGCGTTAATCCTCACTAAAAAAAAAAATTATCCATCAAGTTCGAAAAAATATCCACTAGTCAGGTCAGGAAAGGCGGATGTTGGTCCAATTACATGCAGCCAAAAATAGAGGGTAGAATAGTTGCTTAACTTTTCATGAGACAACTGGAGTATACGTGCGTTAGTCGGCCACCACAGTGTAAGCAGCACCTGTACAAGGCACCTGCCCTGGCTAATGTGAAGGTGATCATGGTCACGTAGAGGTGTTGAGGCGACAGGTGAAAGGCCTCTTGGGTTTTACTAGTGTGTTATGGCTCTTGTGGCGATTTATGGTGTTAACTTCGGCGGCTGTATGGGTCTGTTGAAGTAAGTTTCTTCCACACACATGAAATGTAGTTTATTTTTGTATTGGTACCTATCTATGGTGTTTAATTAGTGGTGTTTCTTCCATAAGTAAGAAATCATAACGTATCAAGAACAGGTTCTTAAAATAATTTTTTTTTCAAGACTAAAAATATAGGTATTTTGGTAATGAATAATTAAGATATCTCTAGCTCACACTTAATGTCTATCGTTTTCGCATATTTTTATAAAATACTAAATAAAATTTCCTAAATAAGGAAAAACTATTGGAAATTGAAATAAAAATTAATAGGAACTTACTTTGAATTAAGTTAAAAGTGGCCTGGTGTAACCGCGCCTTATCACCGCCGCTATTGTTTATACTAACTTCTAGAACACTACAGGACTAAAAGATTTTATAAAAAATGGTATAAACCAAACTAAACTAAACCAAACTAACTCATCTAAACCTAACCATCTCATTATATTTTTCAATTCAGTTCGATTATTTAGTAAGGCTTTATTAGTTTTTATTCGATTGGTCTTTCGTATAATATTTAGTGTTGTACTGTCTGTCAACACCAAGAGACTGTACACTCGGATGCTGCTACACGCGTACATGTCTAACTTGTTTGTAAGTATTTCCATATTCGAATTTTTCTGTTAGGTTTCATATTTTGAAATAGGACATACTATTTAATGGTTTTTGTACAATAATTGTTGACCTTACGATATTTAAATTACGTTTCAGAATGAAGAAACGATTAGGATTCTCCAAAAGATAGCCGAAATTATCTCTTTGAGACCGATGGTCTAAACTTTCTTCCTCAGAGTTAAGCCACTGGAGGAGAATTACCCTTTTCACTTCCTATAATAGTGTAAATTCGGAGAATATGACAAATTAAGAATGGGAATGAAGAGTAACTGGGTCACCTCACGTCGGGGTAGAACAATGGGTGTTTTGGGTGAAGGTGTGAGGATGTTGGACTGTGTTCCGGTGTAGGAGGCGTCAACCACTCTACTGTAGGTGGGCGAAGCTCTAGAGTGCACGGTGCTTAATGGTGAAACACACCCAAGAGTAATTTGCACCTAAGCACAGTTCACTTAGAGTGCATTTTACCATCAGGTGAGATGCACTCTACTATGTTGCAAAAAACACTCTAAAGTGCATCTCACCTGATGGTGAAATGCACTCTAAGTGAACGGTGCCTAGGTGCAAATTACTCTAGACTGTCTAGAGCAGTGGTTCTTAACCTGGGGGGCGTCAGTAATTTCCAGGGGGGGCGCAATCCCTAGGGGAAAAGTAGGAATTTCTCAAATTATAATTATAGTTTTTATTCTCTTAACAAGAGCGTGGGCTAATATTGAGAAGTTTATGAAAAAATGCAAAAGTATCGCCTTATAACTTTAGTTTTCTATAGGCTACTTTTTTTTACTTAGGGCTTACCAATTTCTGTACTTATTGACACCCCTCCCTATCCCACGAAACCCATGGGGAAGGGGGGGTGGGGTTAACTCGTCCTGGACCTGTATACTGCTCGTTGGTGACTGGTGAGCCCCGTTCTCTCCCAGTCTTCTGCACACGCCCGTGGCAATAATTCCTCTTCTATCACATTTATTCAGTTAAGGCTGTTGAGGTATGTTTTATCCCAGTTGTTGTATTTACCTAAAAATAGTAAGCAGCCATAAGTTTATTGGTGAATTGTGAACACGCATGTGTTGCTCTGTTTGTTATTCGCAAGTTTTGAAGGATCGATGATTTGTCTCACGACATCAAAGATCGATTTCTCGACCAAGTAAGAGATTCTCTTGTTTTTGCCATCCAGTGTGACGAAACGACTGACATCGCTCAGTGTTTTCAGCTACTGATGTATGCTCGTTTCGTGTCAGGCAACAGTGTAAAAGAGGAAATGCTGTTCTGTCACCCCATGGAAAGTTGTACAACAGCAGCAGCTATTTTTCATGATGTATCAAACTTCTTTCAGGAAAACCAACTTTCGTGGGACTCGCTGGTAGGGGTGTGCACTGATGGAGCTCCAGCCATGCTTGGTCTGCAGTCTGGATTCATTACAATGGTGAAAGAAAAAAATCCGTCTGTTGTAGGTACACACTGCATACTTCATCGTGAATCCTTAGTATCCAGAACTTTACCTGCTGAAATGAGGGATGTCCTGAACGTGGCTATCAAGGTAGTCAACTTTATCAAAGCTGAATCCTTAAACAGTCGTCTCTTCAAACTGCTGTGTAAGGAATGGAATCTGAACATGAAACCTTGCTTTTTCACACGAACGGCTATCAAAGGGGAACATGCTTGGACGGCTTTATGAACTACGAGAAGAAGTAGCAATATTTCTTGATTCGAAGCAGAAGGCAGATCTCCATGACAAGTTCCAGTCTGAAGGCTTTCAGCTATCTCTAGCTTACCTGGTGGACATCTTCGAAGCGTTGAATGCTCTCAACCTTAAACTACAAGGGAAAAACATCAACATCATCATGCACCACGACACCATTCGAACCTTCATGGCCAAACTCGACCTCTGGAAGTGTCGAATTCAGCAGGGAAATACAGCCAGTTTTAGTAACTTGGATTCTGCTCTCATTCACGGTAACCTTGAATCTGAGTTAAAGAAACAAATAATCACTCATCTAACTGACTTGAAAACAGAATTCATCAGATACTTCCCAGAGATAGATGAGAAGCGTGAAGCCTGGAAATTCACCAGGAACCCATTTCAATGTGAAGTAGCTGATGTTTCGGATGAAGTGCAAGAGGAGTTTCTTGAGTTGAAGTTCAACTCCACAGCTGAGGAAGACTTCAAAGAAGTGGATCTTGAGACGTTCTGGGTCAAGTACCTACCTGTTTACCCTCTGATCTCACATCAAGCTCTTCAGATTCTAACTATGTTCGGATCCACGTATCTTTGTGAAGCTGCATTTTCCACGCTCGTTGCTGTCAAGACCAAGTACAGAAACAGGCTGAGCGTTGAAGGGGATTTACGTTGTGCACTCTCTGGCATTCAACCACGCATTCAAGATCTAGTAGCTAAGAAGCAGTGTCAAGTATCTCACTAATTTATACTCAATAAAAAGACTAAAAACACAATATTTTTAATTTTTCTTTAAAATCTGGGAGGGAATTTTATTCATAGATGCAAGGGGGTCGTGGAGGGGAGGACCAATTCCTAGAGGGGGCGTGGTAGTAAAAAGGTTAAGAACCACTGGTCTAGAGAGTGTTTCACCATTAGGCACCGTGCACTCTAGACCGACCTAGAGCTTCGCCCACCTAGAGTGGTTGACGCTTGCTACACTAGCGTGCCTGTGGTTCACAATGATACGAGTTACACCGAGCCAACCTTCACTCACCGCACGTTCGTAGTACATTATTGGGTTACTTTATGTTCTGTACGGGAAGAAGAAAGTAGACATTCTCTCTTTGTCTTAATTTGAGTGGTGTATTGCGAAAAAACCTCCGGAAAAGTGTTTCAAAATCATAATTGGTAACGCGGAGAAATGCGTCACCTCAAATATCTTAAATATCTACTTAGTTGCTGAAGTACAGAAATACATTAAACAAGATAATGTGTAAAACATATATATATTTCATAAATTTTAGTAGTTGTTAACTATTGTAGACTTTAATTTGAGTTTGAACACCTTAGAGGCTTAGACGTTAAAGTACTCAGATTAAATTGTACACTCAATATTAATATATTATATTATGGTGGTCAGGTTAAAGAATCGTAAAGACTTAAGTATTGTCCTCACTCGGTTAATTTTTCGAACTCAGGTTGACTTATCGTACCCTAAATTAGCGCACTCAGATGGCTAAACTATAGCACCCAGATGAGTTAAAATATGGAACTTAGGTTAAACTATCATACTAAAAATTCTAAATTACCGTACTCAAATTGAGGTATCACACTATCAAGAAAAAGTCACCGTACGCAGAAAACTCATTTGCGGTACTGCACTTCAGGTTATATTACCATCAAAGCAGCTAACCATTATATAAAACGGCTCTAACTTCACACCAGCCCGTTAATAACAAATTCCTTTTCCTCTCTCACAGTTGGCGCGGGATCAGCGGGTGCCGTGATCGCCAACCGCCTTTCTGAGAACCCGAACTTCAACGTGCTGCTGCTGGAGGCTGGGGGAGATGAGACGGAAATTAGCGATGTACCCGCCCTGGCAGGATACCTTCAACTATCTAAAATGGACTGGCGGTATAAGACAGAACCCCAAGACTCTGCCTGTCTCGCCATGGCCGGCAGGGTGAGTATCCCTTACTGTTTGTTGTTGTTTTGTTGTGGTTGATTGATTGATTGATCGTATTGATGGGTTGACATTGTAGTGTTTTTTTTATTGGTTAGTTGATTGATAGTGATTTTCTGTTGATTCATTGATTGGTTAATATTGTGTTGCTGTGTTGGTTGGTTGATTGACGGTATTTCATTGTATTGTTTGGTTGATTGAGTGATTGGTCTTACTTATAAAATTCTACTTCAGGAGTCACTTTAAAAGATCTCACTTAAAGGGATCTTATTTACGGTTTATATTACTTAAGGATTTTTTAACTATTTAATTTAGGGAATCTTCCCTAAGGAGTCACTTTAAGAAGTTTTAGGGATCTTAGGAAATCTTACTTAGTAATCGTATTTAAGGGATCCAAACCGAGTAACGATAAAAGGATGGTTGTCAATGAAGTCTCTTAAACTTAGAGGGTTTTTCATTAGGAAAGTGAAAGCAGAAAGACAGCCATTTTCACTCGTGTGTGTGTGTGTGTGTGTGTGTGTGTGTGTGTGTGTGTGTGTGTGTAGACAACACCGGATAACTGTAACTCTCTCTCTCTCATACTTACACACACTCTGTCTTTTTCTACCTGCCTTTCTTACTACTATCGCTCTCTCTCTCTATCGTTCTTTATTTTTCTCTCACTTCCTCCTCTCTGTTACTTCTCATCTCTATCTTCCTCTTTCTTGTATTCTGTTTATCTCTGTCTGTGTCTCTCTCGTGCTCCGTTTTTCTCATATTTTCTTCTCTTTCCTTTTTCTATTTCATCGTTTCAACTCTCTCTCTCTCTCTCTCTCTCTCTCTCTCTCTCTCGTAATAATCACATACATGAAACAAATTCCAAATGGATGAGATTCCTCTTGACTATAACCTAACACATCACCACTTAGTTCCTGAACGACCCAATTACGTCATTACTGAGAGTGATTACGACCCCGTTGAGCTGAGAGAGAGAGAGAGAGGAGGGAGGGGGAGAGGGGGGGGTGACCAGGGTGTGTCACGCCCTGGGTTGTCTAAGGGCCCTGGGAGTATGGTAAGAAAGTGGTGACATTCCTGGGGAGTTTGTGTAGGTCGTGGTTTAGTGTTTGTATGTGTGTGTACAGTAGGTCGTGGTTGTTGAGTGTAGGTCGTATTGTGTGTAGGTCATGATGTGTGTGTTAGTCGTGGTGGTGTGTGTGTGTGTGTGTGTGTGTGTGTGTGTGTGTGTGTGTTTGTTGTTAAATTCTTATTTTCAAGAGACGTCAGGGTTGTTACCGCTAACACCAGCCCTTCCTCCTCTCCTTCCCCTTCCTTATTCTTCCTCTTCCTCCCCTCCCGTATTCTTCCTTCCTTCCTCCTTTTCCTCCTCTTTTCTTACGCTTACCTTCCTTCTCTAACCTTTCCTCCCTCGGTTTCCCCTACCTTCCTCCTTCTCCTTCCTCCTCTACCCTTTCTTCCCCTACCTTCCTCCTTCTCCTTCCTCCTCTACCCTCTCTTCCCCTACCTTCCTCCTTCTCCTTCCTCCTCCTTTCCCTACCTTCCTCCTTCTCCTTCCTCCTACCCTTTCCTTCCTCCTTCTCCTTCCTCCTCTACCCTCTCTTCCCCTACCTTCCTCCTTCTCCTTCCTCCTCTAGCCTCTCTTCCCCTACCTTCCTCCTTCTCCTTCCTCCTCTTCCACTCACCCCTACCTCCAGTGTTTAGTACTTTCTGTGTCAAGTACCAAGTTTAGGGGAAGTACCTCGACTGTCGTGCATATCAGGTGTAGTATCTTAATACCTTCCTGATGACTGGAGTATCCGGTTACTACTGACTGGGAAGTGACGGTCTACCGCTAATTAGAAAGTGTAACGTTATGACCCATTTAATGTGTGTGTGTGTGTGGGGTGGGGGGGGGGGTATGTTTCTCTTATTATGTAACATTAAATAATAAGACATTCACACACACACGCACACTCATACACACACACACACACACACACACACACACACACACACACACACACACACTCACACACACACACACACCATCTGCGTGTTGCTGTGATCATAAGGTGTTATTTAGGAAAGAGAGATAAAGAAACTCGAAAAAATATAGATAAATATGCATAGTCAGTGAGTGTAGACGGGGTGAGATAGATTATATAAAGCGAATCATCGATAGAGAGAGAGTTATGAGACTGTAAATGCATCAATTGTGCACATATACTGTACAATAGATCGGAAGAGGAAGGCTTTATGAATTGTACACACTAATAATAATAATAATAATAGATTTAGTGCTGTAGACAGTATTACACACTCATTGTCATTCATTCAGGCGGCAGTGTTATGAATGAACCGCGTGCAAAAACCACAAATCTTGCCCCCCAGCACTGACACAGATGTACTTAGGCTGGGGTTTGTTATTGATGATGTCAGTTAATTATATACTTGGTTTTGCCTCCACATACCTACGCTAGCTGCCTGTCATGTCTCTCGTTCAGCCAAAAGTCGACGAGTTAAGTCAAGTTATTCTTCGTAGTTGAAGGGTGAAGTTATCGTGCGGGAGGCAGTCAGTCACCGTACTCGGGGGGAGGGAGGGTAGATTGTTGCCTGAGTGGAGAAGCAGTTGTCGTACTTTAAATGTTAAAATATAATATTGTTTTTTATTCAATTATTTGTTTTGTGTAATTAATGTGTTTTGTAGCTCAAGTGTTAGAGTGAACTGTACTCAAGGGATTGATATATTATACTCGGGGCTGAGATGATGTACTCGGACTTAATATACTGTACTCGAGGGCCGAAGTTACTGTACAGAAAGGGCTAGTTACGGCATCTTTGGAGTCCTACAGTTTTAAGGAGACTGAATTGTGAGGGAAGGACGGTACCAGTTATTAACTAATGTGGAAAATGCGTAAAACAAATTTTAATAACTCAGTGAGAAATAACACTGGCGTCAGTAGAGGCGTACTAATAAGCAGTCGTGCGTCAGTTAGTATGACGTAAAAGGGGCCTGATTAGTGGACTTGGTTAAGAATGGCGCCTTGGGGAGAGAAAGTCTTGCCAACAGGTTGTCCCCGGAATTCCAACCTCACATTAATGCCAGCTCATGGGCGGTGTTTTGTAAAGAAAGGTAGGAAGGATTGAGAGAATAACAAGGCATAATTAACTAATTATGTGAGAAATATATTAAATAATGGGAGGTTGGAGTCTAGTTAAAGCTAAATTGGGTTTTATTGCACGAGAACATGAACGGCAGTAGGGGATATATTCGCACACGTGACACATCTTGATTGTCATACGTAGGAGAAATTAAGGTATTATTTTTGCAGGGTACGTGGGAACTTTGACCGAGTTAAAGCCAAACAATTCTCATTTTACAGAAGATTGAATCATAGCGGCAGTCATCTTGGTAAGAAGCAGCAGTTAAATAAATTCTGTCCCCATTTTGTGTTAAAAACAAAATTACATTTCCTGGAGGTTTAGTTCACCTCCACGGTCTTAGTTCTTGTTATTTCACGATGAAGTCTTTACTAGATATGTTAGGTTTAATACACATAATGGGAATCTGCGGTAGAACAAAGGAAATGGGAAAATGAATGAACAACTTGAAGCAGACCACAATAAACAACAAAACTTACCCTAATTAAATCTATGCTGACTAAAACTCTCCCAAGAGCGTTATTTACAGTTTAGATTTTACATAGAAGAAGTGCTTCGCAAAATATAGGCAAAAGCTTCTCTTGAAATTCAAGTTGGAGACAAGTATGGTCAATGAGAGATATCTCTGATTTACTTTGTTCTCTTTTACCAGATGTAACTGACTCTTCCTCCTCTTATAACTCACCCCAGAGTCTCAGTAGTCATCTACCCGAACACACTCTTTACCTCTGATTGATTCTCTCTTCGTGGTTCCCTGCAGAGATGTAACTGGCCGCGGGGGAAGGTGATGGGCGGGTCGTCCGTGCTCAACTACATGCTGTACGTACGAGGCAACAGGCGGGACTACGACCACTGGGAGGCTCTTGGCAACCACGGCTGGGGCTACGACACCATCCTCCACTACTTCAAGAAGTCAGAGGACAACAGAAACCCTTACTTAGCCAGGAACGGTGAGCATATTTTCTTATATTTCTGGAATTTCTGAAACTTTGAGTAGACTTGAATCATATATATATATATACAGTATATATATTTTTTTCACTACTATTTATTCATTGCTCCTCTAGTCCCTCTTCCCGTCTCATACACGAGAAAAGGTAAACTGGTGATCAGGTAAACTAAAAATGAGATGTTTTTCTTACATTTGTTGATGGCACCCGTAGTACACTACCATGGGACGGGCGGCTACCTGACAGTACAGGAGGCGCCCTGGAGGACGCCCCTCGCCACAGCCTTCGTGGAGGCCGGCATCGAGATGGGTTATGAGAACAGGGACTACAACGCTGAGTTCCAGACGGGTGAGTTTGTTGACTGTTCCTACGTTATAATCTTTGTTTTCATGTGAAAAATAAATACGTCATTAAAGTCACTGCTTTTTATGGGCTTGGTGATATCGGACACTTACGTCATAACTTTCGATGGTTTTGATTGGTTGTCCATTGATCCTACCCTGAGGCACCTGTATAAAGCATGTTAAACCTGCATCGACACCTATTAACCCGTGTTGACCTATGTTAACTCCCCTCAGGGTTCATGATCCCACAAGGCACACTGAGGCGAGGGTCACGGTGCTCTACCAGTAAGGCGTTCATCAGACCAGTGAGACTCCGGCCCAACCTGCACGTGGCCATGCACTCCTTCGTCACCAAGGTACACACATACACACACACACACACACACACACACACACAAAACCCTCATTAACTCTCTCCCTCTCTCACACAACCCTCTTCATTAACTCTCTCCCTCTCTCACACAACCCTCATCATTAACTCTCTCCCTCTCTCACACAACCCTCATTAACTCTCTCCCTCTCTCACACAACCCTCATTAACTCTCTCCCTCTCTCACACAACCCTCTTCATTAACTCTCTCCCTCTCTCACACAACCCTCATCATTAACTCTCTCCCTCTCTCACACAACCCTCATTAACTCTCTCCTCTCACACAACTCTCCCTCATTAACTCTCTCTCACACCCCTCATTAACTCTCACACAACCCATCACACACACCCCTCCTCTCTCTCTCACACAACCCTCATTAACTCTCACACAATTAACTCTCTTAAAAAACACAACCCTCATTAACACAACTCACATCTCTACTCTCTCTCTCCCCTCTCACACTGATTAACTCTCTCCTAGAAACCCCATACCAAAACCCTCATCATTAACTCTCTTTCCCCCCAGATCCTGATTGACCCCTACACTAAGGTGGCCTACGGGGTCCAGTTCCTGCGTCACGGTCACACACAGGTGGTGAAGGCCAGGAAGGAGGTGATCCTGTCAGCCGGGGCCATCAACTCCCCACAGCTCCTCATGCTCTCCGGGATAGGTCCTGCCAAACAGCTCAATCCACTTGGGGTAAAGACTGCTGGTGTTTGTTCAGTGTGTGTCTTTTATTCAGGTGTTTGTTCAATGTTCTTTAAGTTGTTCTGGTTTTGTTCAGCGTTTATTCAGTGGGTTTTTTTGTGTGTGTGTGTTTGTTCAGCATTTGTTCAACTTTTGTTCTTTCTTTGTCTATGATTCCTCATTATAATTCACAGTTCAGTAATCTCATTGGAAGTAAGGGATGTAGTTTATTCATAATAAATAATTGTCTCATAGTAATTCAGAGTCCAGCAATATTTAGTAATGGAACCAAATTACATTGTTTACTTGTGATTAAAAGAACTGAAATTCATCATAATGATTTACACTGCATTAATATTATTGCAACCAAACATTCCTCACTTCCAGTCCACCTTATACCGTCTTCCTAAAACTCACCTGCTCCCAGCCTCCCTCACACACCTCAGGCGGAACTTGTGGTAATAGACGCTAGTAAGGATGATATCATGGGGCTGTTAAGATATCTGGTCACTAGCTGGTCACATTTACGAGCTATAAACCCTTGCCGCGAGGGATGACAGATGTTAAGGAACGAGTTTCATTCAGTACAGTGTAGTTTTGGATTTTTGAGGCCTCCGTTGCCTCTCCCCATCCTATCCGCCCCTAATGATTTGCTTCACGCCCTCCTGCCGCAGATCCCTATAATTCAGGACCTGCCCGTTGGCCATAACCTGCAGGACCACATCGGGACGGGTGGCCTGGTGTTCCTCATCGATAAGAAGGTGTCGCTCGTCCAGACTCGCTATGAGAACCTCCCTAGCGTCCTTAAGTACGCCATGTTTGGCTCAGGTGAGTAACTTGTCTCTCTCAGGTGTGGTGTGACAGGTGAGTAACTTGCCTGTCTCTTGTGTGATATGGCATAAAATAGTTGATAGGTCTATTAAAAGAAACATTTCTAGAAGGAAAAAAATAGATAGATAATAGCTAACACTCTTTTATCACCAAGCTGTAACTTTCTCATAAACGATAACATTAATCACACCAGCTAAACCGCAAGTCATCACACTTACACTACAGTAGTCAAAGTTACTTAAGTGTGAAAGCTCGTGGTGAATAGACTTGGTTTGTCAGTAGCTCAGTGATGTGGCTTTTGTATCGTGCAGTCAACAGTCGTCGTTGCCAACACAGTTACGGCGTGTGTATGTGTGTGCTGGTGTGCTTTGTACGTTCGCGAAGTAAATTTTCGCGAACTAATGAGGTCACGAACTCGGAATTATCGCGAAATATTGAGATAGTATACTCGGAGAAGATTTGGCGACGTAAAACAAACACGATCTGGGAGTTTTCGCCAAATTGGTGGAGTTTTCGAGAAGTAATGAGGTCGCGAACTAAGAGAAGGAATTTTCGCGAAATAATGAGATTTAATTCACGTGAGTAGGAAGGTAAGAAGAATATTTTGGACTGGTAAACACATTAAAAAAAAGATTTAGGAACAGTAAATGCAGAAATAAACCGTACAATAAACTTAGAAACCATGAACGAATAAGTAAAATTCTTATAATGACAAAGACGAGGTTCTGGCGCAATATAATTTGTGTCATAATAAAAAACTGAAAAGTCAATCGTGGAGGAGTGGTACAAGATATTCAGACCAGCAAACAATGATAATGTAGATGTAAGAATAGAAAATAGAATAAAAAGATATACAAATTTGATAAAAGATAAAGATTGAGATTAATAGGACCGAGAATCAGAAGAGTTAGTATAGATGTAAGACCCAGACGATTTTATTGAGCTGAGAGAAATCCCTGTCCTCTAAAGGGTTAAATTAAAAAAAAAAAAAATCTAACTATCTCTAACTTAGATACAATCACTTAACATTAAACAAAATTAAGATTAAATAACAGAGAGATTACCTATGTTAATATTATCTTTTAAATGGTGTTTATTGGGTTATCTTATTTATCTTGAGTTGATATCATTCTTAGATTAATTCTCAAATGTTATATTTCATAGTTTATCTTAAAAGTTGACTTATATCTTTTATCATACGAACCTTTGATACTCGTGATGTAGGACGTGTAAATATGTTAACAAAAGATGACCAAGAGCAACAGGGTCACGTATTTCTCAACCTGTACAGCCAGCCACTCACCCCAGCACTGTGTTTACCTCTACTGTGACGCCACATTGCCCCCCCCCCCCCAGGTGTGTGTTGATGGTAGAAGTCTGTGTAGGGTGAGAGCTTATGATTCTGTGTAGGTTGTGAGTTGTTAGTTTACAAGGTGTATGTAATAGTCGTAAAATCACTCAGAACAAACTTATTAAAAAAAATGGTATTTAACCCCTTGAGTACGAGAACTTAACCCACTGTGTAAGAGAACTTAACCCATTGAGTACGAGAATTTAACCCACAAAGTAAGAGAACTTAACCCATTGAGTACGAGAATTTAACCCACAAAGTAAGAAAACTTAACCCATTGAGTACGAAAATTTAACCCAGTCAATTGACTGGAATATGGTCACCCAATTCGTGTTATCTAATGAGGATCTGGGTAGGTCGGCGCTGTACATAAACTAGATAGGGCTAGTATCCTAATTGGTTACTGGTTCAGTAGATTGGCCTGGCTGTATTAACTCATTAATGGCTATATCAGGATTACAGTGCTTAATAGATAAGGGTTTAAGTAGTCAATATCTAAATAGTTCGTATGAATTAAGGGCCAGAAAAGGCTGGGAATAACTAGGCCATAACCCGGATTGGTTAGAAGCCAAATAGGCTAGTAGGTGAATAGGGGGTTAAGGCCAAGCTAAGGTAGGGACTAGGTAGGCTAGGGGGTGAGTGAATAGGTAGGTCGGTAGGTCGGTCGGGCTGATCGGGTAGGTTCCCGGGGCCACCACAACATTCCTAACTAGGACTTTCACGACACTGAATGAATCTAGTGTGGCGGCGCCCGGCGGCCCCCGCAGGCGGCCACGCCACCCACCCCGTGCGTTGCCACCCTGTAAAGGCTGTCGTACTAGCAGTGAGTTAACTTGCCCGCTTAGTGGAAGTAATCGTGCTTCAGGCAGCGGAGAAAGAACTATCAAGCACCAGCCACTTGAGTTATTGTGTGTTAAATTGGGAAAAGAGAGCTATCGTACTCCTTCTAGGTGATTTATCGTGTACCAAAAAGTAGGAGGAAATCTATCGCAACATACATCAGATAGCTAAGTGAGCTATCGTCCACTAAACACATTAGTTATCGTGCGATAGGCAGCAGTAGAAGACCTATCGCACACCACCCACCAAAATTATCGTGTGTTAGGCAGTAAACAGAGAGCTATCGTACGCCAGCCACACTTATTTTGCGTTAGGCATGTGAGTTACATTCTCTGTGGCATGGGAGGTAAATTATTCTATAATAGTCACACCTCTGTATATCTCCCCCACCATATTATGTTTTTGTAACTTCTGTGAACAGATTGTATGTACCATTGTATCATAGAGTACAGTACTGTAAACTTAGCAAATTACATAAGCCATTACAGTGCAAGTGATTGTATGTATGCGTGTGAGTATTTATCCAGGAGTTGCTTGTTTAAGATCCCTTCTCTCTCACTGTGTTTGTCTGACTGTCTTTGTATTTGTCTTCTTCTCACCTCCATCTTTACCTTTGAGTGTCTCTCTTTCTTTCTCATTCTCCATAACTTTATTTCACCATTTCTCCCTCCCCCTTATCATCACTGACCCTTCCCCCTGGCCTTCCTCAGGACCCCTCACAGTGCTGGGAGGTGTGGAAGGCCTGGCGTTCGTCAAGACCAAGTTCGCCAACCAAACAGACGATTGGCCTGACATAGAGTTCCACTTCATCTCCGGGTCGCCAGCCTCCGACGGTGGCCGACAGATCCGCAAGGTTCACGGCCTCTCTGAGCGTGTAAGACAAGGGTCCTCACTGTCAAGGTGGTAGTTAATTAAAGGTGGTGACTGTCAAGGGTGGATATTGAGGGAGGTGACTATCAAGGGTGGATATTGAGGGTGGTGACTATCAAGGGTGGATATTGAGGGTGGTGAAAGTCAAGGGTGGATATTGAGGGTGGTGACTATCAAGGGTGGATATTGAGGGTGGTGACTATCAAGGGTGGATATTGAGGGTAGCGGCTGTCAAGGGTGGATATTGAGGGTGGTGACTATCAAGGGTGGATATTGAGGTGGTGACTGTCAGGAGTGTGGATATTGAGGGTGGTGACTGTCAAGAATGGATATTGAGGGTGGCTGTCAGGGTGGATGTGTGAGGAGTGGTGACTATCAGGGTGGATATTGAGGTGGTGACTGTCAGGGTGGATGTGAGGTGGTGACTATCAGGGTGGATATTGGGGGTAGCTGGCTGTCAGGGTGGATGTGAGGGTGGTGACTATCAGGGTGGATAATGAGGTGGTGACTATCAGGGTGGATAATGGGGAGGTAGCGACTGTCAGGGTGGATATTGAGGTGGTGACTATCAAGGGTGGATAATGGGGGTGAGTGACTATCAAGGGTGGATATTGAGGTGGGGTGACTATCAAAGGGTGGATATTGAGGTAGCGACTGTCAGGTTTGGTAGTGAGGGTGGTGACTATCAAGGGTGGATATTGAGGGTGGTGACTATCAAGGGTGGATATTGAGGGTGGTGACTATCAAGGGTGGATATTGAGGGTGGTGACTATCAAGGGTGGATATTGTGGTGATGACTGTCAAGGTTTGATATTGAGGGTGATGAATGTTAAGAGTGGTGACTATAAAGGGTGATTTTTATCAAAGGGGATTTTAAGGGTTAAGACTCAAGGCTAATGGTTAAGAATGACTAAAGGGTGAAGTTTAAGGATGACTCAAGGGTGATAACTTAACACTCAGCTCTAAGATAGGTACCTACTGACCGGTTGAAATCACCCAAAATACTGTATACGTTACACTAAATAGAGATAATTGTTGTGTTGACTTTTTTCTGACATTTCTGACTGGTTAGGGACAATAATGTAGATAATCATAATACATAAAATTTTACAGCTGACAAAACTTAACCTAACCTAACCAAACCTAACCAAACTTAACCTAACCTAAACAAACCTAACCTAACCTAAGCTAACCTAACCTAACTTAACCTAACCTAACCTAACCTAACCTAACCTAACTTAACCTAACCTAACCAAACCTAACCAAACTTAACCTAACCTAAACAAACCTAACCTAACCTAAGCTAACCTAACCTAACTTAACCTAACCTAACCTAACCTAACCTAACCTAACCTAACCTAACCTAACCAAACCTAACCTAAGCTAACCTAACCTAACTTAACCTAGCCTACTTTGGAGTATAATTTGGCTATCTTATGGTAAACGACGTCTTTAAATGAAACAGCGCCAATTTTACCACATAAGAGATAATTTCCATTAAGTTATATAAAAAAAAAGAGTTATCCCCGTATTACAAAAACATTAGTTACTTTTTAAAACTTATCGGTGACATACTGTATATGTATAATGTATGGTTTAGGTGTGTATTATAATGTATATGTATTTCTCAGCAGGCAGTGGCATACGCAGATTTATATATTTATGTAATAGTGTTGTTGTATGTTATATATTTTGAAGATATAACCTTGATCTGGGGGTTATAATAGGTTATATAATTTAGAATTTGTATTTATAATCTTATATTTCAGGTTATAATAGGGATATAGTTAAATAATCTTGTACTGGATATTATAATAGGAATTTAGAGTAGCTCATGACAATGGTGTTATGCAACTTCCTTACAGGTTATGTAAACGTAATATTATTTACTTGTTAAGAACTTGGTATTATAGTTAAATTATAGTACTTATTTATTTTAAGCAGGGTTAGATATATCATTCATGGTTTAAGTGGGATTTGATTATTTATTGTTTAAGTTATTTATATTACAAATGTACCATCGACCTAATTGTTATACGAGGATAACATTCTCTTTGCGGTAAAATTAATACGATTATATATATTTCTTGTAATGATAACTATAAATGACAGGGATTACTGTAAGTACGACCTGGTAACAGCAGACGAAGACCTCACGAAGAACGAGTTTAGTGGACGACATCTGAACAATGACAACGACCGTAGTAACTTTGCCACCCTTCTCACCTCGACTCTCATAAAATTCATTGCTAACATTTGTATCACTGTCTTATTTAGCTCAAGACATTTGTTAAGTTTTATTTTGTTTATATTTTGTTTGTTTAATTTTTCTCTCTCACTAATATTGTTTAAAGTAGATGGCTTATTTAGCAAAGTAAAATTTGAGTGTTTTGTAAAAAATATCATGGCTGAGTTTTTTTTAGTTTCAATATTTTCATTAACTTTGGGAATCAGGGAGTTTTGGCTGTTTGTGACAACTTTACACCTTTATTATTATCATTGACCCACTGACTCACCTGAACCTGTTGACCTGTAATCACAATGACTTGGTGAATGGCCTCTAACAGACCTGGAGAGGGATGCTTCGGTCTCTGTCTTTCCGCGACAACTGGAGTGTTCTCCCGACACTCCTGCGGCCACGGAGTCGAGGCTATGTGGCCCTGAGGAGCGCCAGTCCCTTCCATAAACCCCTGATCTATCCCAACTACCTTACCGACGAGCAAGACGTGAAGGTGATGGTGGAAGGTAGGGCAGCCTGGCACCCGCAGCATCTGGCGACGTCTAGGGACAACATGCAGGAGGACTGGTGGCTGCGGCACGTAGTTCAGTGCATTGAATCTTTTCTTATTACATAGTATTTTTTTGTGAGTTTTAAGCTGTGTAACATATTAATTCATAAATCCAACTTTTTTGCAACATGGTCGTCAGCCACCACCCTCCTGCGTTACTGTGGGAGTCAGAGAAAGTCATGGTGGCGGACACTTGCTACTGACTAACACTAGAACGAGAGACCGCTCTTAGACAGATAGACAGACTCAATAAAACACACACAACGATTTATTTGACTCCTACACATAATAATGTTCCTGGACGGTCGACCTTACTTCCTTTTTTTCTCTTCTTTTTTAGCTTTTGGCAAATAATTCTCCCTTTTCAGACTTGGCAGCAAATGTTTAAGCCAATATCGTTCCGAGACAGCTGGTCGGTTTACCCTATGTTGCTGAGGCCCAACTCGCGCGGGTACATAACCCTGCGCTCGGCCAGCCCCTTCGACAAGCCATATATCACCCACAACTACTTGACCGACCCTCAGGACGTCTTGGTCATGATTGAAGGTAACGGCCAGCCCTTCCACACTGCTGTCCCCGCTCTACCAACACCCCTTTGCACCGTAATAGACTAACTGTGCCTCCTCCTCCAGCCCCGCCCGCAGTACTACCACTCCTTGTGTACAGTAACCTTGCACTTTTTACACCTGCCACTTGTCGCTATGTACACACGCCTGTATAAAAGCAAAGCAGTTCTTACATATAACATCTATTGTACGCATCTGCAAATAAGCACACCAATTCCCACTGTATGCTATACCTCCACGTAAGCCTACCTGGTCGCGCTACATTAATCGCAAGCCTCGTACATCCTGCTGTGTCACCTACACCTGCAATACACGCCAGCACACTCTGCTGCTACATTCTCAAATCCAGACGAACATTCACTGGTACACACTCCTTATCCCTTGGCGAATGTTTTATATTCAGACTCGACAGACTACCCACACTAAAGCTTTATCCTGACTTCATCTACGTGTATATACTTGTATATAAACCTAGCATTTTACTCTATATTTTTACACGTTCACATAGCATAGCCCTTGTCACTACACCTTTGCGTGTGCACACAACAGTTCCCGCTGCATCACACTGTACATATATATATACACAACAGCTTAGCACTTCCCTCTGCTTTTTGTACACAGCCTACTAGTTCCCGTTACAGACTCACACATGCACGCAACCTAGTATTTTCCGCTACACTTACACATGTATTCAGCTAGCAGTTCATGGTGTAACTTACGCCAGTCTTGATCCCCATCTGGTCTCATAAGTCAGCCAGGTACGTCCATTTGTATTGTAACGGCATAACTTTGTCTATTAACCTGTCCTGAAGCATCTTGGTTCTGTAAAACTAACATGTTAAAACTCACATTCACCTCAAAATCCTTGATTGAGAACCATTACAAATCCAACCTTCAGCCTGCGTTCTATCTACAGTTCTTCACAGTTATGTAAGCAAATGTAGTGATGGCAACACTTAATTTAGCTTCCTAAATCAAGTAAAAAACAAAAAACATCTGGGGTTGTAATAGAATTTGGTAATCCAAAAGATGAATTACATTATCTTGAAGATATTAACATTCAATTAAACAATGTTGGAGGTGGCAACAACTGATTTACCACACCTGAAGGAGCAGTGGTTGAATTAGAAGTCGTGAAACACACCTTGAATAAATCACCTGAAGACTAGTTCCCAGGTTATTTCATCTAAAGATTAACCACCTTAACGCTAACGCTAACCTAACCTACTTTAATCTAACCCAACCTAACCTTTCGGGCAGCGTAAAGGTGTTTGATCATCAGGTGAAGTAAGCTGGGGGACTAATCTTTAAGATCCCCATAATAGCTCAAACTACCTCAATGATGCCAACACTGTGTATACATATTAAAAATCAACACATTTTACATTATCACAAACCATCGTTCCTTAACCCAGTGCATGGTCCGGATTCTCAAAGGATTTTACGTTTAGTTACCTCCTGTGGATAACGATAATTGTGAAAGCGTTATTAATTGGTTCATTACACCGTAGAGAATTGTTTTTGTCCACAACCTTGGGGGAAAATATTACTTAAATATCTTTGAGAATCTTTAGTATATAAACCTACTATTTTGTGATTGGTTTATTTTTAGTAGATTTTAGTTCCTTCAGCTGATCTTACTTACTACGATAAAATTACTCTTAGAATAGAATTAATGATAATGCATGCCAGTAAGGAGATTGACTGCGAACCCTGTGTACTGTACTGGTGGTTAGCTGAAAGATCTCATTTTAAGCATTAACTTTTTCTTGCCTACACCTAAAAGTATTTATGCGTTGACCAAGCTTAGATAGTTTTTTTGTTTGCTACCACTGCTATAGATTGTCCTGCTTCAAGCTTAATGTGTTTGTTTTTGTTTGTTTCCACTGCTTCAAGCTTACTGTGTTGGTTTCTTATTATTTACTGTTCGTATTTTTTTCTTTGCTTCATTTTTCTCGCACAGCTTTATCTTATTTTTGTGCTAATTTTCTTTTTTGTGTTGTTCACTCACCACTTAGCATAGTTTCTATTATTCCTTTGCTTTTGCTGTAGTTATTCTTCAGTTTGCATTACTCTTTGCTTATTTTTCCTTTCTTAATATTGTTTCTTTGTTGCTTTATTACTATCTTTATATTAGTGTTCCCGTTTTTATTAGGCTATGTTTTTTCTTCCTTATTATTATGTACAGTACTTATCTTTAGTCTGCTCTTGTGTCTTTTTTTATTCCCTTCGTCACTTACAGCTTAAAACTCATCTGTTTGTCAGCTTGTCTGCTATTTTCCTTATTTCGTGTAATACTTGTGTGTTTTGTCCACGTGTCTCCGTTTCCTGTTTTTAATTGTCAATTTGCTTTGGCCGTTATCCATAATCGCAGCTTTAGCTTTGTCTTTTGCATAGCTGGACTCGTGCAGTGACCAGTAGCCTGTGGTATTGATGCTGTTTCCCTTCTTCCTACGAGGCGACGACACATCATGATCTCTAACAGCTAAAAAAATATAGTAATAATCACCTCAGACGTCCGTAACGGAGATACAAACAAAATAAGTGTCTAAGAAATCGGATGATTGGAAGGTAAAAATTTTCAACTATCTTGTAAAGTAAGTTTCATCGTATAGCGGCCCATACACGTTCAATAATATTGACAGCAATATTTCGTCAAAATCTACCGACCACAAACGACTCAATAATATTGTACAATGTTCAGTTGTGCTCTTGTCGTCACCCCGTGAGGGTCTGGTTCACTGACCATGGATATTGACAATGACGCCTATGTAGCTCTTGCTCTGGCAATTTATCTGGGCATGAATAAAGAAAGCGCAAAAGGAAATGCTGGATGAAGAACTGTCTGAAGAAACGACATCACTACATACATGAGAATCTCCTATCGGAATTGCGCTTAAATGAGCCAGACGACGACTACAAGAATTTTCTGAGACTGGGTGTAGAATGTTTCGACGACTCACTGAAGATGGTGGTTACCCCACTCATTGAGAAAAGAAATACTGTGATGCGAGAAGCTGTTTCATCAAGGCAGCGGCTATCAATTACATTACGATACTTGGCCACAGGGAACACATATGAGGACCTGAAATTCATAAGTGCTATATCACCATAATCGATGGTCCAAATTGTAATAGAAACCTGTAAAATATAATAGTGTCTCGAAGATTATATACAGGTAAGGATACAAACATTACTGAAGTAAAAAAAAAGTATTTTAAGGATGCATACATCATGGAAATATATACTGTAGGTGTTGCACACGTCACATTAATAATTGCCTAAGATCAATGACCAAGTAAATTACTATAATAATGGACATTAACAATAATGACATCTTCCATAGCGCAGGTAGTTCACGATATAGCTGTATACATTCCAGGATGAACCTCCTGTCATTTTTTGTAGAACCCGACATGTTTACCGGTTGACCTCACTACACAGACTGACGAAATATTGAACAATATAATTGTAGCTGCCACAAACCATTCAATATTATTGAAAACCTGTCAATAAAAATCAAACCAATTTTGATTTCTTCAATATATTGCGTATACATTCAATATCACCCATACACGACCAATAATATTGTCAATATCATAAATATTGAGTCAATATTATCGAACGTGTGTGTGCCGCTTCTGTCTGGCAGTACAGTTATGGACAGTTAATTTATACGGTGCTTAAGATGAAGCATAATTTAATCATCCTAGTCCTTCTTAAAGATAAATAAATAAATAAGAAAACTGTGAATGATGTGTCGTATACTCTAAGCCCTTTAGGATATTACTTGTACTTTAAATTTCCACCAAAAACTGTTTGTGTGGTGATCCAACAACTCTCACTTTAATAGATTTTCTAACACGTCTTGAGCTGAGCTTAGAATTAAAGACCTTGATGTTGTTATAACTTATTGCTGTGCTATAACAGCTAAGGTCTGTACGCGCTTATTCTAGTAATCAACAAATAAAAAAATATTTTCTTTTATTTTCAAACCCGAAAATAGAATTCTTAGAATTTTTATGATGTGAAAATTGTGGTAGAATGATTGCATGTAGTCACCGTACATAAAAAAATAAAACAATTTAAATTGATATCTTATACTTCAAATTTATATATATTTTCATTGATATTATTCTTATTATTTTATTTTGGGCTTCACGGCACCAAAAATTTCGAAATCAGGGTAATAAATGTTTAATTTTATAGTTGTAAAAATCATAGAATGTACTGCATGCAGTTTTCCACGACCTTTTATACACAGATTTAAGAACTAAGACTCGAGTGAACGTCGTTGTATTTCTTGTGAAGACTTCTCGTGTTGCCTGCTGCCCTCTTACTGTGATGTAGGTCTTCTCAGCGCTACACTCAATTATATCATTGACGAAAGAGATAATTTTATATTAAAGTCCAAAAGATATGCCTCACTCCAGTGTTGCTCAGCGGGAGATAAATTCCTACAGAGAAACCTTTTATGATTGACTGTGGGTCTGAAGGTCCCTATAATTAAATCCTCTTATTATTAATTTAATGGTTTTCGATGATTTCAACCCTCCCATTATTAACTGAGGATAATCCCCATTAAAAAATATTTGGGCTTCAAAGATTTCCCAAACGTATTAACTTGCGTGGGAGACCAGCAACTAAGTAAACATCCCCTTCCATTCGTTGTCTTTTAACTGAAGAAAACAATTCGGATCACATTGATTGGAATTCACACTCTACAGTTGGACTTTGATTAAATTTTCCGATCGTTTTGTCCGTAAAATTTTAAAGCCATCAGTCCGCCATAACAAAACGTGGAATTATTAATAATTTCTTTAAAAAATGAAGCGCGACGTTCAAAATAGTCTTTGCTCTTATCTCCAGTGTATAATATATATATATATATATATATATATATATATATATATATATATATATATATATATATATATATATATATATTTCACATAATAAATTAAGATTTGTATATGAGTTAAACTAAAGATATTTCACACTATAGTCGCCCTTTCGTTTAAACAAAATAAACAACCGAGACACTGTACATAGCAACAGTAATGTTTGTAAATATTTTTCCTCACAGCTGGCCGTTAATCCGAGTCCAAATACAATAAAATTATGTTTTCATGATTTATACCGATAAGTTGAGTTTTTTTTGCAATGTATACGGATGAATTAGAGTTCAATTCAGGTGTTCAAAGTTGTCAAGATGTATTTTTGTACAATGTATTATGTGTGTGAGCCCTTAAACCGCTATTATCCTCTTCTGAACTTTAGGCGTTGAAAACAATCTCATACCGACTTTGAACCCTGAACTGATACATTAAACCTATAACTACTCTTGGAAGCATGTGTATTTGTGTGTAGTGTTTTGTTTAAGTAGCAGAGTGTGACAATTTGTACTATATTATAGTTATTGTAATAGTGATGATGTGCTTGGGAGAGGCTGTATTACTGAAGGTCTTGTTTAAGTATTATTGTGACTGTTTAAGAAAGAAATACTGTATTATGTTGTAGTAGAGGTGGTACTGGTATTTAATGTAATAGTAGTGGTTGTAGTACTAGTAGTTGTAATAGTAGTAGCAGCAGTAATAGTAGTAGCAGCAGTAATAGTAGTAGTTGTACTGTAGTACTAGTAGTTGTAATAACAGTAAGCAGCAGTAGTAGTAGTTGTGTTGTAGAAATATTGGTGAAATCTTTAAAAACTAAACAAATACAGTAAAATAACAACAACATACATATAAAGTTTTCTAACAAATATTAATTAACCCTTCAAGAGGGCAGGAGTTTCTCTCAGCCGAATAAAATCGTCTGGCTCTAAAGAGTTAAGCTACGTATCGATACCAAGATGAACAGCAACACAAAACTCCCGCTGCTATTAATATTATTGTACTAATATCTAATATCACTGATCACCCGAGGATTTGCCACCCTAACACTAACCTTACCTAACCTGACCTGACCCCCTCCCCCAGTTAGTGTTAAGGTGTTTAATCATCAGGTAAAATAAGATAATGGTAATCTTCAGGTGAACACAGAATACAGTCACCTTAACACCAGAACTTACACATACTTTACATAGTTTTGATATCTTTAACTACGTCAGCTTATCACAACTGACATATCCTAAGTGTCAAATTAGTGTTCAGAATTGTTTTATTAATTAGCAATTTTTTTTATATCAACATTTATGGTAAGAGAGTGAAAGGAAGGAGTCCAGGGTAAAGAAAAGTTCACAGTCGCTTTTGAGAATACCCTATTGGTTTAAGTGACGAGGCGATGAGCAGCACATAACTTGAGGTCGCTGGCTTTCTTGGTTCACCAAATTTAGATTTATATAATTAAAAAATATATAAAAATCCTTGACATGACACAGGTACAGGTGACAGTCTTACTCCCGCTAAGGCAACATTACATATATACGTATACTTATGTGTAAATGAGGCAGAAAGTCACATCAGCAACCAAGGGACTTGGTCACAATTTTCGTGATGCCATATGGCAGCAGGGTCTACCATTAGACAACACATTATTCTTCCAATATCTTCCCAGGCGGTAGTACCTCCCTGTTTGATAGCTGCCTTCTACCTACTATCTACAAAACATACTGTAGCAGCCTCACCCGAGGTTAATCCAAGATGTCAGAACAAATCCCGAACTGCACTGGCTAACCATTTCACTAGAACGCGACCCCCAAATTGATTAACATCCAGGTCCCCAATTACTGCTGGGTACATTATAGTTATCGTGAAATGGTGGTAATGGTTTCAGAAAGGAGAGTAGTAATGGTGATCACAGTAGGAGGGATGGTAGTAGTGTCAGTCTCTGTCATAGATAGCGAGCGTCACGTGGCATCCCTGTGGTGATATAATGAAAGTGATGGCCGAGTGAACCGAGTTTCTCCAGGACCCACACAGCGCCTCCTCCACCACGGTGTAACATTACCTCACTCACAACCATACACCCATTCACCAGGTTACGTCACTTCCCATTTTACATCGCTAAAGTCCTCCCAGCAACTCAGAATTCTTATGAGACTTACAGTTGATGAAAGAGAAGTAGTGTATAGAATTTCTGCCACTACTGTTTCGCAAAGGATTTAGAAAGTGTTTCAGTGGAGTCCCAAGTGTGTATTCGTATGAGTAATTTATTACACTAATGTTTTATTGAAATTTAACAAAAATGCATTACTGTTGCGTTACAGTTTTAGATATTAAATTAATTGTCACGAGAGGAAGTGATATAATATAGCTTTCTCCAACGGGCACCTCAGACAATTTATTCGTCAACGTAGGTACACACATCCAGGCCCGCCTTTGACTTTCACCATTCGTAAACTAGAATACAAAACAATATGTAAAAAAAAAATATTCACATTACGTGTAGCAGTCTATGCTCTGGATTACTGTTGGAAAGTTGTGGGATTATCTTCTGGCCCACATCTCACACTTTTTTTTCATCAATAATTTTTTAGGATGTTAGAGCCCACTCGTCACTCACCACCACTTCTGTTTTTCTATGGCTCTTGATTATGCGTGTAGCTCCAGGGGAAAAATGGCAGAATGGAAGTAGTATGTTAATAATGGTGGCTGTTTTATTGCCTTAAGATGTCTCAACAGCCAAGATCTTTGAGGACCGTACACCAAGTCTCAGTTTTCTACACGCCGTGAAAACGTTTATAGATCAAGGAAGAATTTATTTTTTGTTTGTTGCTTTTGTTTTAAGTGCTTCAGCTACCAAGGCCATTAATCATCTAGAACAAGTTTCACATTCTTCGAGCACAAAACTTTTTAAAAATTCAGTGCAACATAAAGTCACAACATTCTTGCCGTGTGATATTGCTGATGGTGGTGTGTGGAGACTGAGAAATTGTGAGGAGTGTGACTGTGGTTGTATTATGGCGTTCAGTAGTGGTGGTGGTTAAACTTGACTGGGGTGTGATGGTGGGGAGTGTTGTGTTGTGACTGTAGTGATGTAATATGAGTTCTGGTGAAATTAATGAGACGATAATGATGATGGTCTAGAAGATATTGTTGTTAGTGCTGGTAAAGGGAGTCAATTATTAACTAAAGCATGACAAAAAAAATCACGAATTAGAACTGATACTGCATGTGTGAAATATACTGTCCACGGTAGAATTAACGTGTTCAATAGTCTAGGTGTAACTCATTCTGACAGACTCTCGAGGACTTGGAGTAAGCCTCGCTGGAAAGGTTTTCATTGTGTGCAATGAGTTGGTGTGTTGTTCCTGATGTCACGTCCCGGGAATAGCATAACATAATGACTCTCTGGCTACTAACACACACACACACACACACACACACACACATACACACACACACACACACACACACACACACACACACACACACACACCAGCATCACGTCTCTTGGGTGAGAGGAAGTACGTGTTGTGTTTTGTAACCAATAAACTGAAAGCAGTATGGATTTTTTTTGTGGAAGGGAAAATAATTTATTGCTTTTTGATGGTGCAGCTGATTATATATATATATATATATATATATATATATATATATATATATATATATATATATATATATATATATATATATATATATATATATATATATATATATATATATATATCTTTTAATGTGTTTTTTATATACATGTATTTTCCAATCCTGTTTCTTAACTTCCCTGTAAAATTTAAATCCATTATATATTTCACTTCATTCTCCCTTCACCACAAACAGTTACTGCGATTAGTATTATCTCTGATTTTTCCTCAGTTTATTTTATATTCACTATGCCGGTAACTGTCATTGTTATTATCTGTACTTTTCTTTCTTCCATTGTCTGTACCTCGATCATATTATTCATTCACATCATTTTATTTCATATTTACTGCCTACGCCCCGATTGGTGTCACCTCAGTTCTACCTTCACCTCCTGCACAAACAACACATCTTTCCCCTCCTCCCAGGTATCAAAATCGCACTGGCGCTGACGGAGACGCACGCGTTCAAGAAATTCGGCTCCAGGTTCTACACGCGACCCATGCCAGGATGTGAGCACGCGCCCCTGTGGACGGACGCGTACTGGGAGTGTCTGGCGCGGTATTACACATCCACCATCTACCACCCCGTTGGTACCTGCAAGATGGGGCCGTACTGGGACCCAGGAGCTGTCGTCGACCCCGAGCTGAAGTGAGTGTGTGTGGAGTGATTGTTTGGACAATTAGAATGACCCAACGAAACTAATTTTACTTAAGCCAACTTATAACGCATGAAAGTTATCGTAACCTAATCTAATTTATTCTCATTTATATAATCATACCCAAACGACCTAATTTAATCTAACTAAACGGTCTCTTGCGTGAAGCAACTCTGTAAATACCTTTTCGGATTGACTGACTCACTGAGACTTCTTTTTTATCCGCCTGCTCGTGCCTCGCTACCGGGCACACGACCAGCATCTGTGACCAGTTTTGGGTGCATGGGATGGTTTCTTATGATCACTACAGTATTTGAATGTTTCCTTATAAGTTGAAGTTGTTTATCACGAGTCTTTTTAAATTTTATTCAGAGGAAACCATGTAACAAAATCTAGTTTAATCCTTTCGTAATTTGCAGAACTTGTTTCCTTTTCTCAATATCTGCAACAGTTTGTCACTTCTCTCTTACTTACAGAGTGTACGGCGTCTCAGGTCTGCGGGTGGCCGACGCCTCGATCATGCCCACACTAGTCTCAGGCAACACCAACGCACCCGTCATCATGATCGGCGAAAAAGTATCAGAAATCATTAAACAGTACTGGTACGGCAAAAAGAGATGATGAAGGCCACGGGCATAATAGTTGCTGCTGCTTCTGTTGTGACGCTACAGGCATTTACCCGGTAAAGGGTTCCAATAGTTTATCCTCGGGGAGCTCCTTTATGAGTTACTTTTTCTGAAAGTGGCGTTGTTCCGTTCCTTACTTTAGAAAAATAAAACTTTATTACGTATGTGAGTTTAGTCTTGGCGTCGTTTTTTATTCATTGGAATGAATATAAACATTGTTATGTGACAACTTGTCTGAACAGTGTTTCACCCTTTACATTAGAAACAATAAGTGCACTTCTGACAGTGGAAAAGTAAACCGTTAAATGTGCATTTTGTATTGACTAATGGAGTTAAGTCAATGCTGGAACTGTATATAATATGAATTAGTACCAATAATGACTGCCAAAAGTGTTTGCTCAATATTTGCCCTTCGGTCAGTCCTACTTGGTAAATGCATTTTGGACACAATGAATAACTCTCCATGAATCCTAATACAGTACTTATGGATCTACTCGAGTTGGCTAGGTGCTTAAAAACTTTAATGTTTGTATATATATATATATATATATATATATATATATATATATATATATATATATATATATATATATATATATATATATATATATATATATATATATATATATAACAGCAAGGACATTTAACCTTGCTAGGCTGACATGGTGTTGTGTATTCCTGATTTTTTTTAGGAGCTGAGTGATGAAAACAGTCAAGTAGGCTTTTGCTCGGTGCTACGTAAGACTGGTTAGTTGAAGCACCTTAATCTACAACATCAACAACACTAAGATACTCAACTAGGAACCTTGTTATGGCCCGCGGACTTTGGTTTCTTCGCGGGAACAGGTGTCAGGGGACTAATCACGTCCTAGTCATTCTTAGACACTAGCTATGGCTGTCACGCCCCTTCGCCACCCCCCTCCCCACTCCCACCCCATCTCCGTCACACGCCCTGTCAGTAGCAACCCTGTTATTGGTTGGCCAATATCTTCTCTCAGTGGTGTGGCCTGTCTTTGGGTGGTCAGTCAGATGTTGATTAAGCCGTGCCAGTCAGCTGTCAACCAATCAGCACAAGTATCCAGTTGAATAGCAGTGGAATATTTCTGAGCTGTTTCCACATGAAAAATATTCTAGTTTTTAAGGAGTAAATGGTATAAGAAGTCACTCGGTTGACAGGACAGTAGGACTTGCCTTTCTTAATTCATCACTGGCAGTGACAGTCAATTGCGTGTCATGTGCCAAGTAACTAGTGACTGCATAAGGCATTGGCCATCAAGAGGCAGTGACGTCAGCAAGCTGTGGCGACGACAGCGAGCAGTGCCAATAAGTATAAGGGTGACAACAACTGTGAGCATTTGTCATGCATGGTTGACAGTCACTTCTTTTTAAAACTGCTATTTGTATATATCTATCAGTAACCTAAGACATGTCAGGGCACTGATTACATACGTTTGTGTGATGTTTACATCTTTATGGGCATAATTACAAGCAAACAGTGAACTTGAGATTATATATAATATTATAATGTACAACAACATCAAATGAACTCTGGTGATTCCTAACAAATTAATGTATATATTGTTTCCCACCCAAAGATATATGCAGGAAGAGGTAGTGACAAAATTTGTGTAGAATCTGTTTTCTTCTTTTTTTTAGAATATTTTCGTGTGTTCATAGACTATGAGACAAACAAATGTTCCAAATATTCGCCATGTGCCATGCATAGAGAGTAAGGTCGCCGTGATTGTAAGTGGATGTTTTTACTCCTCCTGTGTGATGGTGAGCCAATATTTACATCAGGATTAAAACTATAAGGAGGAGAGAGGTAAAATCCATTTTATTAACGCCAACATCATAACACATTAGATTTATACTGACTGACTCTGTCTCTCTCATGTACTCAAAACTATACTTTATCCATTCATACACTTTTCATGTTACAACAACAACACTCACCCATATCTCACTTTCCCTCTTTTATCACAGTTTCCCTCTCACTCGCCAGTCAATCCTTTATATTGTTTACATTACCTCAGTGTTTTTATTCTTATTTATATTGCTTGTTTTAAGTTTCAATGAGACTATACAAGAAGTTTCCTTTGGGAAAAAGTTGTACAGACCCTGAGGGCCAAGATGTACTCTGCTACTGTAAGATGTGTAAGTTATTTATCATTCAATAAATATTATCTGTTGAATATAGTGGTTGAATATCCTAATAATATATTTAGTCATACTGTCTTTGACTGTAAAAGCTGTTGGTCAAGAAAGGGCAAAATTAACTGTATAAAAAGTCACCGAACTCCTGGTACGTGAGAATTAATTTCCCCTCACATATATGTAGTAGTATTATGTATGTACGTGAAACATGTAAATATGTCGTGTCACATGTACACATTAGATAATTTATTCATCACATTTTCATATTGTCAGACATCATGTAATAGTTTACTGTCTAGCAGAGATTATTTTTGTAGCAGAGATGATTCATATTCACATTAGTATTTGTGATGAAGTAGTAAAGTCATCACCGAGTGTATTGTGCAGTTTATGGCACCGGGTTACATAATAATTGTTGGTACAGTACTGAACAGCCTTCCCCAAAAAGTATTGTTAGTCACGGGGTCGATGTGATTCGAGGCTTTCCGAACAATGTTACTTGACCTGTTTCTGAACGGTTGGTACTGTAGTTCTATTTCTGCGACCTTTGAGCATGAATGAGTATATACAGTATGTTTCGAACGATGTGATCTTCCGAGGCTTCCGATCATAATAATATTACATGACTCGGAGTGGATGTCGTAAATGGACACCAACGCCATGCCAGTCATCAACGGGACCTTACATAGAATGGAGCGAGGAATTATCGAGGAGATATCGCAAGAAGTGCTATTATAGTCCTTCACAACGAGGGTATACGTAACACTGGGATAGCACGGCGAACTGAGGTGAGCGAACCCACAGTATCACGATGGGTTAGGCACCATGTAACAACTGGTACCACACTGTAATTTACAACAACCACAAATGTCTTGCCTAAAAGTCCCTTGATTTGAAACCTTATTTCGGTTTTGAACCAATGTAATTTACATATGTAACATGGCAGATCCCGTGTAGGCTGATGTATCGTATATTGTTCTAGTTGAAGCAAACTTGAAAAGTAACAGATGCAATTGGACAAGTTTAGTCATTTTCGAACGTATTATATTTTTGTCCAGATCTGAGCTTTTTATGCACGTGAATTCTATGTAAGCAAAGAAAAACATGAAAACCTTTAATTTGAAAGATGGAATGCGTTTATTATCGTTCTCGTCATAAACAATCCTTCATCGCCACCAAACAAACTCGTTATAGTTAAAACGGCGTTGTTTGAACACTAGACTGGTGTTTTCGGACGTGGGTGTGTGAGGTCTCCTGTGATAGTATTTTGTTTTCAATGTTTCCACGTATACCAGGATGAAGACAAGCTGTCAAGGAAGATGAAAACCAGTCACCCTAAAAGCATTACGGTAAGCTACGTGCTGTTACAGTCGAACATATAATTATAAACTTCATGACCAAAATGATAAGAAATCCGGTAATGGTGGAGGAAACGGTTAGCACCAGAAGGACTTTATGGAATTGCACCGAATTTTCAGACGTTGTTTGGGTGATACTTAGTAAAGAAATCGAAACAACAATGCGCAGAGCCTATTAGAACCTTACCTAAGTTACCTAACCTTACCTAACTTCCTAACCTGTACATTGTCGTTCCGATTTTCTTACTTACTATCATCTAAACTTCTCTACAAAAAAAAACTACTTCAAGCCATTATAAATCTTAATAAACACGCCAGGTGAGATAATCGTTGGTTTCTTGACACGTAAACAACTACCTCGGACGCTTCCGCATAGCAGATGATTGTGAACCAAAGCATGGTCGCCACGGGGATCCAGTGCCGTAATTACGGTAAATTATTATTTTATTCACCTACAAACCAAGTAGAGACGTGAAATTAATTCCATATGACCATGCCCTGCTCATTAACCAGTAAGGCCTAGACAGTCTAGTAATGTGTCATTCTCTGAATGCTGATATTTTATGTGTGGTTATAGGTGATATTGGGATAAACCAAAAAAAGTGTTATTGGATTCAATTTTCTTTATTATGTGGACAACATTCTTACTCCCCATGCTATCTTTCTTGCCAAACCTTGATGCTGTTTAATGACATTTAGCTATACCGTGTATTTCAATTTTTTTTCTTCAAAATTCACCTCGAAGGTGACTTGATATTTGACATATCTATACTCAATCGACTATTACCGAGCTCGGTGTCTAAAGCCTCGTACACACCAAGATACATTGTCTAGAAACAGTCGCGCAACAATGTTTCTGGACTGTTGCGAGACAGCCGCTCAACAAATTTGGACTTTTCTGAGACAGCCGCGAAACAGTCCAGAGACAATGTTGCGCAACAATGTATCTCAGTGTGTACGCGGCTTAAGAATACTCTTGACAGCTCGGGGCAAATATGTGAAGACCAGCGTGTGTGATGACAAACTTATGAGGGAACTACAGTATATCTTCCCTTTCTCCTTCTTATATCTACTGCTGTTTCTCCTCCTGTTCTTCCTCATCTTCTTGGCCATCTTGGAAGTAAGCTTTTAGGAGATATTTGGCCATCTTGGAAATTTGCATCTCCTGGTGGCTCTGGAGAGATTTCAAGGTCTCAAGACCGCCGTAACTCTCCACGATACGCGCAGTAGCCTCGTCTTTCTCCGTTTTCTGCAAGGGTAATTAACCTTTGGTCACATAAACATGAGAAAAACCCGGAAATTACACCAATACAATAATCTGATAAATTTCAATGCAGTAAAATTCTTAAGCATTCATCATTACTTATATATTTTCAAATGTTAAGTTTCATAACTTTTAGCAGGCGATTCAGAAATATTAAATGCATTGTAATATGCGAAGACTGCACCGTAAGTAATTGTTGATAGCATCTAGATATCAAAGACTGTCGTTACCATCCCGAAATTTTATATAATTGTGAAAACACTCAGAAATCTTAGATATACAGTAATGCGATTTCAACCAGCGATGCAGTTTGATAATATGTAGGGATCGTACCTTAAAGATGTTATTGATAGCATCTAGGGCGACGAGCACCATGCCCGGGTCATCACCAGCCAACACACCACAGAGGCACTTCAACACGCCCGTGTTCACCAGCACGTCCACCTGTTCCGTTGAACACCCAGCCGTCAGGTTGGACAACGCCCACGTAGCCTCCTTCCGCAGCTCAGCGTCATTCTGGCGGTGGAAGTCTCAACTAATGACACACGAGTTATTTGGGCAGGTGAAGATTGTCATTATCGATGATGGTGTTATAATGGATTACTGTTTCAACAACTAGGGTCTTTAGGCGTGTATACTGTAGGTTGGTAACTAAACTAGTCCACCAACAATTAGAAATTAATATACTTTTTTCTTTTACTATCTAACTAAAAAACACCATACTTAGTCATTGGGTTATCGTCATTTAAGTCTTGAATTATTTGACCTTTACAGTATGTGTCTCTCTATTCATTTATAATTAATTTGTCTCTTTCTCTATCCATTTCTTAATTGGTATATAAAATTTGTCCTCCTCTATCCATTTATGCTTCTCTATTCATATGTCTCTTCACTCCACTTTCAAGAAATAAAAAACCTTTCATCACCATCCAAATATCTGAAACAACTAAATAAAACTAATCAACAAATTTCATTAACATCACACATTCACTGACCTTCTCGACGGCGGAGATGAGAGCTGGGACGACCTGTACGTCCATCACCAGCTGTATATGGCGGGTAGTGCCTGCGGTGATGTTAGACAGGATCCAGGCAGCCTCTCTAGCCACCCCGGGGTTGGTGTGGCTTAGCATTTCACGGTATATAGGTAGCGCGCCGGCCTGTACAACGGCGTCCGTCTACCCCCACATAAATAAAACAATTCAACATTTTTCCATTTTCTTTCATAGCTTAGCTATACTGTTAGTATTCAGACAGATTAATTAGCTTGAGTCTATGTGGTTAAATAAGGTCCAACGTAAGCTTAATTTCTAGATTTACGAGCACTGACTCAATGGAGAGTTTACCTCACCTGCTCAAGAGTGCCAGCTCACCTGTTCATTAGTGCCGGCCGCGACACTGCCAGTGGCCCTGAGAGCAGCTGTTACTACCCTGTCGTGGTCAGAGTACAGGCGCTGCACCATGTCCCTCACTAAGCCGCTCTCCACCAGCTCCGTAATGGCCTGGGGACCCAGGTCCGCGAAGTACGCCACCCCCCACAGGGCGTCAGCTGGTGAGATGGGGTTGTTGTTATAATATTACTACGCTTCAACAACTAAGGTCCTTAAACGCGTAACAATGTTAGTAATACACTAGTCCAGTATCAACTGAAAATTACGAGAGAAAGCTTTATACAGAGATGGGTTATATATGTAATGAAATATATCTCTCCCTCAGGTCAGGGGGCGGGACTCAGTGGTGTTGGTGAAGGAACGTGATTGTTACGCTGGTGCTCTGATCACGTAACTAACGCTCTCTCTTCTCTCTCACTCTTTTCCTGTCATTCTGTCTGTCTCGTGCTGCCAGTCTTTGTTTCCAGTGTATCAACTGCTGTGGGAAGGTGGAAGAGGGAAGGCAGGTGTTTCAGGCGAAAGGTGTGTTTATTGTGGTGGTGTTCCCTCACGAGGATTCAATAGCTACAACAACAACTTCTATGACATACAAGCAGTAGTGAGGGGGAGCAGTAGTCTCTGATGATGCTTGTAAGCAGTCATGATAACCGCTAGACAGTTGTTGTGTGTTATCTATTCTGTAAGACCATCAACAGTAACCACAGTACCTTGAACCTGTGTGTCGATGTGTCCTACGAGGTCCTTGAGGGCGTGGGCACATTCCTTGCGCTCCTCGGGGGACACGATCGGGTTCTTGACGCGGAACAAGTTAGTGATGACCCAACACACCTGACGACGTAGTGACAACTGTAGGGGAGAGACTAGCTGGTTACTGACTTCTTGGGATCACCGGGACGTGTATATATATGTTAGACACGTAATTACAAACACAGTTACAGACCAAGATAGTTACAAAACAGTCATAATCACAAACAAGAAATAAATAGATAAACTTGGTGCAGACATTGTTGATGAGTGGCATAGTTAAAGACAGGCATAGTTTGACAAGCATAAATACATTCAGACAGACAAGTCTGGTTTCAGACACGTAGTTACAGACCGGCATAGTGACGTAGAGCAGATTAATGAGGGGTCTGATGATGCCCTCCTGTATGGCTCTGTCCCTACACTCAGCCCCATCACCCACGATGTTGCCGAGCGCCCAAACCGCCTGCTCCTTCACCCCCATGTCAGGTGAAGACAACAGCCGCACCAACACCCCCACGGCCCCTGAGTCTGTTGCAACCAGGTGATAACCTATTACTACACTGGACCTGTGCTTGTATCGGTACCTGACTAAAATTCTTTGTTATCCGCACATTACATTGTTAAGGGTGAATATCAAATGGACATAATCAAGCTGAGAGAACTAGACACGAAATAAGACAAAGATCTAAATAAAAAAAGCAAATTAGAAATATTAGAATATGATATAAATACTGTAATAACATAGGGACATCAGTTTCACTACATCATGGCGACAGGTGGCCGTCTAACAGTCATTTGCCAACGTTTTTGGATTATTCTCGCTGGTGATATTTAAGTCGTTATGTGTTGACCTCAAGCGTCCTGTGCTAATGAGAGGCGTGAAATGTTCCCCCGGATTGTAAGAGGTATACTATACTATATATCTTAATGTAAAATAGTTGGGCTGGTATGGAAACTGACTTTGTGAATGGCACTGAATGATCCTGACTGTCGAAGCAACTAAATGCATTAAAATAACAGCATAATGAATGGTTAAACCCCCCCAACAAAAGAACCTGCCTGCGTGATTATACAAGTATTAGTAAAAAAAAAATGTGGCCACCTGCAGATTAGTCACCCCAGCTTATTTCTACTAATAGTTAACACCCCTAGCGGTAACCTAACTTAACCGAACTCTTCCAGGTAACGTCAGGATGTTTAATAATTGAAATAAGTCTATACTTCAGGTAACACGAAACATCATTACAGATTTACAGTACATTAATACGGTATTGAACCTTTATCAAACGTACCCACGACGGCCCATGTGTGGTCGGAGGTGCCTGAGGCGATGTTGGTCACTGCCCACGCCGCCTCCATCTGCAGCTCAGGACTGAAATAAAAACAATAATATTATTGTACTGACACCCTCATTCCACACGTGGCTAGGAAGCGACTAACAGCTAGATTGTGATTGGTTGGAGCATATGAGTTTAGGTCTCTAAGAGCAGGCTACGTGAACTAACGAACTTTGGTACCCTGAAGATTTTCCATGGAGTTTTGCTATTCCTTAAGTTTCTAAACATATCGATTGGCGTGGATGTATGTGGTTTCTAGGGTCAGATTGTGTTGTTGGTGTGCCAAAAAAAAAAGTTATTTGTAGTTTGGTAAAGTTTGGGTTAAGTTAGGTTAGGTTAGGTTACTAAGTTTAGTAGACAGATCTGGTCTTAGAAACAACATCCTTGTATCCTGAGACAAAATATCCTCTCTAGCCCTTACTCTCTCCAACCCTCACCTGTCACCCTTCTCCATACAGGCGATGAGTGGAGGGAGGATTCCTGCCCGGATGAACTGATTGGTGGGAGGGTTGTTGGAGGAGAGGTGGACCCGAGCCCTTTCAGTGTTGCTCAGCTGGAGGCGGTAGTCACCACTCTTGATGCCCTCCACGATGTCGTTCACCTCATCCGAGATGTCGTCCTCTTCGGCTTCCTGGCCTACTCCCTCCTCCTCCTCTCCTTCTCTCTCCCCTCCTTCTTCCGTTGTTGCTCCTTCTTGGTCCTCCTTCTCATGCTTCTCCTTGAAATAACAGATTACCAGGTTAATTGTATTCCTCTTATCCAGACCAAGGGTGTGTGAGCGATAACATTAACCTCTTGTAGTCAGTTACCCCCCCCCCCAAAAAAAAATAAGGAATAGCAAATATCAAGACTTAGGTAGATACACTAAGGATGATCAGAAAAGAATGGTTAAAGCTGTCTGGTCGTCTGTATAGTAAAAGCTGTTAGAGCAATGAAGATGTGAGCTGGGACAGGTGAAAGGAGTAAAGCCAGGGATAGGGTGTGAGTGAAAGAAGTGGCAGTACTGTTGACTGATGGAATGTGGAGTTATGTGGTAAAATTTAAGGGAATAAGCTAAAAAAAATATGATTAATTAGACAAAAATGAGGGTACTAGAGACAAGTTACTGAGAATATCTAAGAGGCATTGTTGTATCGATTTTCTTATTTAGTACTATGCAAATAATATCTCTGGGAATTATGGTCCAATTCTATAAACCCCTTCTTGTGTTAACCGTTTTCTCCACCATTACCCCTCTGAAGTACTGTAAAGCACGGTGCAGTACAGCATAATATAAATGGGCTTGTAATCTGTTTTTTAAGCCTACCTTAATTAAATCGGCTTAATATTTACTACAGTTACGCGGCTTAATGTGAACTTGTGTGGCGATATTACTGAATAAATATCTATCTACAGTAAATCCAGCACCAGTCACCCTTTAATTTTTGTGCTAATTCGTTTTCTTTACCAGAGTAAATTCCAAATTTTCATCGTATTAAACATTTTAGGATAATTTCTCATTAGGCACGCTACCTCAACGTTAGCAGCAGCTTCTTGAGAGGTGTCCTCTTTTTCTTGTGTTTTGTCTGCTGCCGTGTCTGCTGCTGTGTCTGCTGTGGCCCCTTCGTCTGCTGTTGGGGTAGTGGACTCTCCTGTTTCAGGCTGTTCTTGTGGCTTCTCCTCCTCCTCGGTTCTCTGTAAATGTCACAAATGGGAACACATTTTTTTAACCAGGTGACGCTCAATATTTCAGTTTTATAAATTTAACAAATAATAATAAATTTTGCATTTTTCTAATTATGGATATAACTATATGAGTGTTGCGTGCTTGGCAATTTAGTTTTGTGGTAGTATGCTAGATGATTTTCTGACATGACATTGACGATGTGTTGTTTGGAGTTGAAGAATGTTCAGTCGCTTTGCAAGTTATTTGTTTAGAAAGTAATTTGTCTTGATTGTCATTTGTTTTTCATGCTCATCATTTTTTCATTTAAGTATTCATCGATTCCTTATGTCGCACAACACTGATTTGCGAATCAAGTGATGTAATTATGTCAGGTAGACTCACCCAGGAAACATTAACAAACAGAAAACGTAACATAACCCTCTTCCCACCTTCCTGTTCTCCTCCTCATGCGCCTCCTGTGCCCTCTGCTGCATATGTTCCTGCTCTAACTGTTCCTGCTTCTTCTGTTTCCGCAACTGCTGTTCTTTCTTTTGATTTAATAGCTGTTGCATCTGCTGCATCTGTTGCTGCATGAGCTGCTGTATATCCTGTGTCATTTGGTCGTGCATCTGTTGTAGATGTTCCTGTGTGGCCGGGCGTTGGACGTCGTCGTCAGGCTGTTCTTGCTCCTGTCCCTGCCTGATATCGGGCAGGCGATCTGAGTGACCTCCTCGGGACCTGGCAGAAAAGAAGGAGAGAAAGAGAGGGGTGGCGTCTGTATAAAGTGATAAAGAGGTTATCCAACTTTCCCATTCTTGGTCGACCATTTGTACCGGTCGCACTGTATCCTGTATTAAATCTGCCACGCCCCTGTTGTCTCTTTGGAATTCAAGAGTCAGGATAATCGAATAAAAACATAATATAATACAGTGCATATGAGAAGAAAAAAAATGATGAGTCGCCATCATATAAAGAAATTCCCTGAACGTCCAGCTGATAAAATATTCACAGGTAAAATGACTGGACCCCAAAATAGTTGTACCCTGTGTCACGCAAGAGGCGACGCTTGCTGATTAACAAAAGATGGAATGCTTTACTTCAGCAAGTTGGTAAAGGAGTAATATTAGTAAAAAATATTGTTTGTTATTATTGTTGTTATTATTTTATTTCGTGTTATCAACGTTTATTATTATTTTTTACTGTTGTTATTATTAATAAATTTATGTTATTCATATAATTACGTCGTCATCAATATTTATGAATAAAAAAGTTACGTTAGTTATACGAAAAAAATAGCAAACGGCTGGGTAGATTAAAGATGCCCTGGGTGCCAGCCATCGACCCGTAAGAAAGGAGGCAAATGCTGAAAACACTCGGCCTCTGCATCCTTACCTACAGGTAAACCAGTATTAATGATCGGATGTGTACCGGCGACACGCTGATAAGGTTCAGCGTACTTAGTGCCGACATACACTCATTCGTCATGCACTTCAGGCACACCTCCGTGTGTTGTGTTTATCCACTAGTGCTTTACCATTTTTGTGACCTTTCATACTAAAGACAATAAATGGTCCATTTTAACTCCTGGGTTTCTCTTTGTACTCGTGATATATTAAGTGCAATAAAAGCAGGAGTACGTTGGGGCAAAAGAAGTGAAAAATTGAAAGACTTACGGTAAGGGTGTGAGGCGCAAATTGGAAATGTTAGGCTGGGGTGTGGGTTGTCTCTCTGGTTTCGGTTGCTCCTTCTCCTTCCAGTGTGGAGAGAGGGTCATGTTGGAAGGCTGGTGAGGGTTTTTGGTGTTGCTGTTACTTCTGCTGCTGCTGGGGGTGGGCATCAGAGGGGGTAAGCGTCGGCTCTGCAGTATAGCCTGAAGGCGTTCCCGACGCTCACGGATAGATTTTAACTGTGTAGTAAGATATAATTGTATCAGTGTTAGGAGACATTGCAAACATTTCGGTGTTCTGTACATAACTACAAATCTTGAAGAAATAATTAGTGCAGGTACTTAATATTTCACTCCTGAACTCGAACGTTGTTGATCATGACAAATGCATTCATTAATTTTTCTGTGAGCGTCAAGATTTTTCCAGGAAGTCAGATGATAGTGTACGTAGGAAAATAATTACTTATTCATAAACCAATGGAAAGTAGTGAATATGAGGTTATAAGGCTACCAAAGTAGCCTTATAACTTTTGGCATAAAGTAATTCCTGTATCGTTAGTTAAGGCGTCTTTGATGGGAGCAATTAAGCTCATTATAATAATCTTTATTGTTTCTATAAAATGTTATTTGTGTAGACAGCGGACCGTACTTAAACACTTGAACATTATACAGTGTGGTTCTTAATCATGTGTAGAAAGTAAGATGTTAGTGAACATAACTGCGCTTCAACGACATTAAATAAGCGCCTATTCTAGATAGCATATACTCTAAACATCAACAATAAAAAATGGACACGTATGCAATCAAAATAAGACAATGAACAAAAGCATAAAGGCCAAAAGCAGTATACAACAATGATACACCAAATGTTGATACGGTAAAATTCATGATTTAGATTTTGAATAAAATTTAAATTAAATGTTTGAGTCATAACATTGGCAAGAACACACTAACTTTTTTTTTGGGGGGCTTTGTAGGGAAACGAAATCATAAATACCTTCAGAGAACAGATTCTGCAAGAGCGAAATATTTGTGCAGTTTAGCCCCTTGAAGACAGTGACTTGACGCATTGAGTATAATTTCATCGTACTCAAGCGACTACATCATCGTTTTCAAAGAATTGATGTCTCGTCCTTAAGATATCAAGTCTTGGCACTGTGGGGATTAATTAGCTTACTGTTCTCAGTTGATATTATCTTACTGGGTCACTTCACCTAATTCAAGGGATTAATAAGACCTGAGCAGATAATGAAAAGGTATCGTAATGTGGTCATGGCTCTCTACTTACATTTAGTTTCTCCTCGTTGACTTTGGTCGATTTCTTCTTTTCATTTTCCTTGGAGAACCTCCTCTGCATGGCCGGGGTGAGCCTGATGGTTGACGGGTGGCGGAATGACATGTTGGCGGTGTGCTTAGTGTATGGTGGTGTGGAGGATAGTTCTCTCAGCTATACACTCGTAAACTATATATATCTTATCAGTTATTGGGAAGGAAAAGGACACTACGATGATTCCTTGATAAGGCATCACAAAGTTTCTTCTCTCGTGAGACATGACAAGGAAGCGTCGAAAAGTTTGAAGTTTTCAGTAGCGATAACAGGAAGCCTGTCAGTTCGCCCCATGACGCTTAGATGAATTCCTGTTGTTACATAATCTGTAAAAGCATACCAATAATGAATAAATACACGAGCGTGTTTAAAGTCAGTCAGTAATAAAGGAAATAATAAATTACATATTTCCTGTATAACGTTATCAGAGTAGAATGAGAAAAATGAAAGCAGAAATTAACAGCCAAGTAGATCGTTATTAGTGTTAATTCAGCCTAATCTCCACCTTTTATGACTTAACAGGTAAAATAAAATTAGCTTGTGAAGGATGTATGGAATTTCAAGAGTATAGCTTATCACAGTCAATCATAAATTCACCACTCTCTCTCCCTCTCTCTCTAATAGTAATAATAGTAATAACGATAATATCTCCTTCGTGTTCTAAAAACGTAACAAACCAAATACCTACGTGATGGCTCCTTCTTCTAGTGTGACTTTAGCTTTGAAGAATTTACTTTGGCTGCTTCAAGGTTTTATTGATAACCGGTAATTGGCTCTTTATGTTGAAGTGTTTCTTTCACGTTTTGTGTATTTGTGTTTTGGTGCACTTAATTGGTGTGCTTGACTACTTACATATTTTAAGTTTGTTTTGATTGTAGTGTAATTATGTAACCTTTGTCTATCAGTGTATCCATATCTTCATTCGTGTATTAGTTTCATCTTTATCGAACTCTTACTTCCTATCCTATACTTTTCTATTTATAATCAAGTGTCTGCTGTATAACAAAGGATATTGATAGTATAATTTTTACTTTGCTTCAACAACTTTGGTTTTAAACAAGTTTTCTTTATAAGTAAATCCACCAGTCCCCAACAACCAAATATTAAGAGAGATAATATCTTTCTGTTTAAAACTGTGAAAATGATATAGGAAACTGCATTACTGAAGAGAATGCGATCCTCATACATACAGTTGTAAATGTCTCCTCAAGGTTATCGCGAAAAGTGACAAGATAAATGTAAATATGAATGTAAATATTTATCATACAAAGTAATCTAATACTAAGTTGATTATAGGCTTACGTTCCTAGTAATTCGGATAAGCTAATAAAGTAAGTGTTTTTAAAAGAATGTACCACCCAATGACTAGCAAGCGGGATGTGAGTAACCTTAATCTCCTAAACTAAAATTTGTTTCGTTACCCAAATTAATATGAAACCACCTCGTCGTAAAATAATAAATTTACCAAATATAAACAATTATAGCTTGTTGTTAAGAAGAGAAACATTTTAGGCTTATGATATTTCGCGCGAATATTAGTCACGTGACCTGCTTAGTTTGGCGTCGTTCTAGGCCCTAGAACGACGCCAAACTTGCCGGAATGCCGGCACGTGCAACAGACAGGCTGGAGCACTCCAGAAAGGAAGGCGGACTATTGCTCCTGGGAAGACCAGGCGGCCATAATTTTCTGATAATCAACTTTGCATCTCCATCAATTTATTTATTTCGTGTAAGAAGTAATAGAAGAATGATCACCAGGTAAACGTCAGCAGAAACAACGCCGCCCTTAAAGGTCCAGAATGTTCACCCTTCTCAAGCTAAGATTATTTTTGTGAAAATTTCTGAGAAGGATTTTAGACTATCTAAAACTGACTTAATATTGCCACTGGTGATAATATGCAGTGACGATTTAGTTGGGATATTGTTCTGGCCATCACCTTTTAAGGTGGTATAAAAGATTCCTCGAAATTACGAGTATATTAGGACGGCATTCAACCACTCGTCCAGTAACGGTTAGTAACACTTTAAAATATATTATAGACCCTTTGTTATTGGCTTGTATCAGGGTATGCCATTGAATTGGTGCATAGACTACTCTCATTTAATTATTAGATAACAAGTACTGTATTAGTAATTTTCAGATTTTTGATACTGTGGTAGTCTTTTTACTTCGTGTATTATCATGCTCCGCCTCACGACCTGAAACACGTCTCTCGCCTGTGTGAAAATAACAGTCCTTCAGACAACCTTCTAACAAGGTCCCGAAGCCTCACCTAAACTTTTTTTTCAGTCTTCAATTTTTATTGTGTTGGATCCGAACTACTGAGTTTCAGCTTTCAAACGACTTAATACACTTAGCTTAGTGAGAAAAAATATATACTGTACTCTGCATGTTATAACAGGTGTACGAACTCTTGCATTTTGTTTCGTGATTATTATTTTGTTTTTATTTTGTTATCGCTTTTATCTCTTGTTGGTGTTATAAATATATTACCGCGCTTCACCAACTAAGGTACTTGAGCGTATTCTAGGTTAGTAGATACATGTCCCACTGGGTGAGCGACTGCTGTGACCCCGAGTCCTGTCAGGGCCCCCCAAAAAAGTGAGGATGGTGAAATCTGTGCCGACCTAAAGTTTCTAATGCGCGACATTACAGTAATAATAATAATAAAAAAAAACCTAAAATCTTTAATTTCATCTCGCTGTTACAGTATTGTAATATACGAAATGACTGAAAAAAATATTAATAAATTATTGAAATGAATGTCTCCTTCAGGTTAGGCAAGGACCTGGTTAGGTTAGGTCCTATCCTAACCTATCCAACTAAACCGAACCCAATATATCCTAATCAAATCAGGTCCTAGCTTAACCTAACGTAAGCTGAATAAAACAATCATTTCATTAACTGCCTAAAATTTTTGTTATTTCAGGAAATGACTGATTACACAGCTTGACGGTAACATCGTCACCCTCCTGAATACGTGCTGTTAGTAGGTAAAAACTATGACGTCTTAGACTTTAGTGTGAGTTATATTTTAGTTTTATTTATTCTGATGGTGATTGTCATGTTTGCTTTGTCTCTCGAATATTAATATTTAGGTTCACTTCTACCCCAAGTGTTGCCAACCCCAACATACTCTCACGCGACCAAGAACCTTTTAAGAGTATAGAGTCTTTAGACGTTGCTATTCACGGGTCATGAATAGTATATTGTTAAATTTAAGTTGACTCGAGAATTTTTACCTTTACAGTAGTTCCTGTGATCACTTATTGTTTGGTAATATTATCTGAATGGTAATAGATAAAAGGAAACATTCCATGGGTGCTCAAAAAAGGATACCTGCGAATAATTCTTAAACGAGGAAGATTGTTATATACTATACACACACACACGCGTACTGCTCCACTTGTGAGGGGAGCTCCTCACGGTACGCTACTAAGAACATAAGAAAATAAGGAGTCTGCAATAGGCCGGTTGGCTTGTGCATGGCAGCTCCTGTCGAGAGTTACAACCACTCTCTATTGTCCATGAATCTATCTAGCCTCCTTTTAAAACTTTCCAGTGTCCCAGCACTTACTACAAAGTTGCTAAGCTTGTTCCACTCGTCCACCAACCTATTTGTGAACCAGTTTCTTTCTATCTCCCTCCTAAACCGAAACTTATCCAAATTAAATCCTTTGCTATGAGTCCTATCCTGCTCGGATATTATAAGAACTTTATCTATATCTCCTTTATTGATTCCTTTCACCCACTTAAATACTTCTACTATTATATCTCCCGCACTCGTCGTCTTTCTAGGGAATGCAAGTTTAGTTTCTTTAATCCACCTTGATATGGAAGGTTTCTAAGTCCCAGAATCATTTTCTTCATTCTTTACTGCACCGACTCCAGTGAATTGATAAACATTCTATAATAAGGGCACCAGAACTGAACAGCATAATCGAGGTGCTGCCTGACTAGCGCAAGATATAATTGCAATATGACCTTCGCACGCTTATTACTTACACTTCTAGATATAAAACCTAATACTCTGTTTGCCTTATTTCGAACATTAACGCACTGTTTTCTAGGCTGAAGGTCCGGGCTTACAAGTACCCCTAAGTCTCTTTCACAAGTCGACTTCTCTAGGTTGATGTTGTTGAGGCTGTATACATGACAGTATTTGTTCTTCCAATATTAAGTACGCGGCACTTGCCGGTGTTAAATTCCAAATGCAATTTTTCTGACCACTCCTGCAGTGTATTTAAATCCTCCTGTAGTGCATTTGCTTCCTGCCCTGAATTAATCTGCCTCCCTATTTTGGTGTCATCCGAAAACTTGCTTATGTCACTGCTGATCCCAGTATCTAGATCGTTTATGTAGATTATGAACAAGAGTGGGCCCAGTACTGACCCCTGGGGAACCCCACTAGTTATACAGCCCCACTCCAATTTAAGACCATCTACGCTGATCCTCTGTTTTCTATCGGTGAGCCATGACTTTATCCAATTTAAAACTTTCCCGCCGATACCATGAGCCTAAATTTTTCTCAGAAGCTTCTTATGCGGTACTCTGTCAAACGCTTTGCTAAAGTTTAAGTAAATAACATCGTAATTTTCGTCATTATTTACTACCTCATGGACTTTCCTAAAAAAAGTCAGCAGATTTGTTAGACAAGATTTTTCCTTTGTGAATCCATGTTGAGAGTCGTAGATTAATTTGTGTTTCTCTAAGTGCGTTCGGATGCTATTTGCTATAATTGATTCAAGAAATTTCCCCACTTCTGACGTCAAACTAATCGGCCGGTAATTTGACGCTAATGCTCTGTCTCCTTTTTGAATATGGGTACTACATTTGCTTGTTTCCACAAGTCTGGCACAATTCCCTTACACTCTTTCAAAACGAGGGAAAATTTCATCAGGCCCTGGGGATTTTGTCTTTAATTTATTCATCTTCTTAAGCACATCCTCTTTTCTGATAGTGATATCCTTTAGTTTCTCTTCTTCATTTCCCATACATATCAGTTCCACCTCTGGCATTTCCTCGTGAATTTCTTCTGTGAAAACTGATAAGAAGTAACTGTTTAATGCTTTGCTTATTTTCTCACTATCATTGATCACTTCCCCTCTCTCTGATTTTAAAGGCCCCACTTTGTCCTTGACCTTTGTCCTATATACCTGGAAAAATCCCTTGGGATTCGCCTTGCATTCCCTTGCTATCCTGATTTCGTAGTCCCTCTTTGCCTTCCTTACAGTTTTCTTAACATTCCTAGATAAATCATTATACCTATCTCTGAGCTGCTCCTCCCCTCCCTTTAATTTCTTATAAATTCCTTTCTTTATTCCTAAGTCATGTTTAAGTTTTTTGGTCATCCACCTTGGCTCATTCTTATGTGACCTTATTTTTCTGTATGGTATATTTTGTTCCTGTGCTTTACGTAATATACTAGTGAATTTAGTATAGTCATAAATTTTTGTGTCACCGGTGACCTCACCCATTCCTACCGGAGACTGACCTGACCGTTCCCAAGTGACCTCACCTAGGTACCTTCTTTACCCCTCATAATCCGCTGATCGAAAGTCTGGGACTCTGACCATATTGTCATTAATTTTCGCTTCCCAATTTAGGGTAAACCTGATTTCTCTGTGATCACTGTTCCCTAGTTCTTCCTATATTGTGATCTCTCTCATAATATTTTCTTTATTTGTTAATACTAGGTCTAATATATTGTCACCTCCAGTAAGCTCTGTAATAAGTTGTTTTAAAATTTTTTCCTGAACTGCGTCTAGGAAGTTTTCAGATTCATAGTCACCTATAATGTTGCCTCAGTCAATACTTCTGAATTTGAAATCCCCCATAATGTACAGGTTGTCGTATCTTGCTGCCCTACTCATTTCCTGCCATATGGGCTGAGCTGCTTCTTTCCCAAGATTTGGGGGGGGGGGGTGGCCTGTAAATCACTCCCATAATTAGTTTTTCTCTTCCTTCCGCAATTCCTACCCATACAGACTCGGTTCCTATTTCACCCTTTATTGTATTATTAATACAACATCTTAATGTATCTCTGACGAAGAGTGCGACCCCTCCCCCCTTCCTACCTTCCCTGTCCTTGTGAAAAAGGTTGTACCCTTCCTTCCATGTGATACTCTGATAAAAAGTTCTTGCTCGCCAGATTCACCCAAGTTTCGGTGATTGCTATGACGTCTACTTTCTCGGTACATACAACTGCTCTCAGCAAGTCTATTTTATTTCTAACGCTCCTACTGTTTGTATAATATACATTTAAACCTGCCCTTCCCTGGTCCTGTTTTACCCCTTGTCCTGAGTAACCAATTTTACTTCCCAGAACCTGCTTGTTTGTTTACTCCCACTTACCCTGACCTCTCTCTACTTGCAACCCCCCCCCCCTTTGGAGTGACAATTTCACGCTCCAGGAGTGCAGAAACATCTTTACCCCTGCATGAGATAAGTGTACCCCGTCACGACTGTACAGGTAGTCGTTGCCATAGAACGGTCGCCAGTTATCAATGACCGCCCAACCATTGCTTGCACAATGTCTTTCCAGTCGGCAATTTATAGCAATTGCCCTGGACAGCCACTCACCGCCAACCCTTCTTCTAGGCAAGACTCCACATACTGTCGGGATCCCTCCCTTATCTCTAACCTTCCCTAGCGCCTCCCTATACCTCCTGAAAAGTTCCTCACTGCACTAAGACACACTACTGGCTTGGTACCCTCACCTGACAAAACCCTATCCGTCCTCTCAGCTACAGGCCCTATCCCAGCCCCAGGAAAACACACCCTAGTCCTACGTTTCCTATCTCTTTCGCAGAAAGTCCTATCTAAGAACCTCGCCTGCCTGTCCCCAACTACCACGACCTTACCACTGGGCAGGGTTTGACCAACTGCCCTTTCCTCTCCTGCCACCACACCGCCATGCCTCTTCTCTTCCTCGCCAGCTTCGTCCATCACTTGTTAGGGCTTAATAATCCACTGATGGATGGTCATCCGTCTCCTCGGCTGTATGTGCGTGCGAGAGGCAGCACTGGTAGACCCAAGATCGATCTACAGTACATTACTAGATACTGTACCGTGTTGCTGCTCTGTTGTTTACTACCGTGACACAATATCACGCACAGTCAGGTATGACTATATAGACAAGCTCGTTATGTATCGCGCCCGTGTATATATATTCTCAAGTATTTTGTTATATGTGGACATGATTGCAGATGTATAAGATTTTGTAACTTGCATGTATATGGGTGTGTTTATTAACAAGAATGCTGAAAAATTAATGCCCTTTTACGGGGTCCCCTCTGTGGTGAATAAAATCGTCTGGCGTAAACCAGATAAAACATTAAAAGTGGGTCACCGTAGTGAACCAGTTAGTGGGAGTGCGAACCGGTTATAAATGCGAGCCGTAAACACAGTTTGCACGGTCATTCATTCTAAATTATAAAATAATTATTTTAGAGGTTAATATTTTTGGAATTTAAATCATATTTAACCACGTAATATGTTTCTAAGATTTAAACCAGGAGAGCTAAGTTTCTCAAGCGAAAAACATTAAGAGTTAGTGGTCAGGGTGCACCACAGTGGCTGTAGGGAAAATAACAAAACAGGATAACTAAACTTTTTTATCATACTATCATAACATAAACCAATCAAACAACCTGAACTAACCAAACAATCCTAGAATAGTCTTGGTTAGGTTCGTCTGGGTTAGTTTGTGTAGTCTCAACAAGGGCGACTAAGATTTAGTCATTGATTGCATTTAATCTCACTTGAAATAATCATTCGCGCAAGCATCCATCAGACACCAGAACACGAACTGAGGTGACTAACAGAAGAAATTAATGTTTTAACGATTCTGTTCGTGGTACTGATTTATCATTGATTAATTTCTTGCGTCCGACACCGTACTATACAAAGGTTAGTCTAGATTCTCAAAGTCGCCCGAGTTAAAATTTCCTGTTAGCTGTAGACGTGATAACTATGCCATCCCAGAAGCAAAGAAATATTTTGTAAATCCACTTTGCATATCACGAAGGATCCTAATCTCTTTCAAATCACCGCATATATATTTATCTGTAGTTTTCATTACAAAACCATTAAGAATCACCATGTCTTCCTATGTCCCATTCATGTAAAAAAATGCAAAAAAAAAATAACATGGTCAATTAATTAAATCTACATTCTGTACAAAAAGCCAACCCTATATGCACACACACACAGACACACACACACACACACACACACACACACATATATATATATATATATATATATATATATATATATATATATATATATATATATATATATATATATATATATATATATATATATATATATATATATATATATATATTCGAAGTTCGCTCCCTCAAATTAGTAGAAAACAGGAGCTGTTGAGTCTGAAACAGAATTGTTGACCAGTGATAATTTGTCAGTAACCATAAAATAATACCTTAATGTTGGAAGTGTTACAACCACTCGATCAGTGAAATTCCCTAACTCATATACAGTACAGTACATGCTTGCTTACCTCTAGCCGCCGTCTTGTTGCCTGTGATTATAAACAAATCGTCACGTCATTCGCGAATAATACTTAAAAAAAATGATTTTTTAAATATTGTTTTGCTCATAATTCAATGTTGCACTAATGCATATTTTCCAGTGATAGAATGTGTGAAGCAATGGAATTCCTAACCTCAATTCTCACATTCACAAGAGATTAACTTTTGCTCACTTGATAAGCAAAGCGCTAACTTTACATCGGATAATAATGGAAAAAACTATCTATTTCTAGTAATTTTCAGAACGCCAACCACAGGAGTAAGGCACCACGTGTTACGGTCACCAGCTGTGTTATTGTGGTGAGGATGCGACGAGCAGTGGTGCCAGACTGAGGGGAAACCTTTGGCTGTCGAGGCGAGGCAAGGCACCACTGCTGACTTGTTGTCATGGTAACTAAACATTTGGGGAAGGGTGAGGAAGGCTTGTCATGGGTCTTATGATTGTTATTTTTTGTACTTTCTTTATGTATACAGTATATCTTAAAAAATTGCAAGCATACACACAAATATACATACACATTAATGCATACATACACAGATTGTACTGAAACAAACTATTAATTCATACACACACAGATTGTACTGAAACAAACTAGTTGTACTCATCAGAAGAGCATTATTCCATTGAGACTTAGCCCAAAGTGACCGTACATGTAACAGACTGAAGGTAATGTTCGTCCTCATCAAATTTTCTAAGTCTAGTAGGCGTCATACTTGTGATAAATAAGGATGAAAAATGTTAATTATGAGTCAAATTACATAAGTATGGTATGCTGTTGTGCACGACATATCTATTAGGGGTGGGGGAATTTATCAAGTTTGGAAATTTAGCATTTCGCACTGATGCTTGTTTGGAACGACATACAGACAGACGGACGGATTATATGACCTTCCATTTTTCTGAGAGAGGACTTAAAAAATCCCAGATTCACTAAAACAATAAACAGTGAAAGGAAAACATGTTCACTGAAGTAGAAATAAATAGTGAAAGGTGTGACGCTGTCGATTTAGAACGACACTAACGTACTAAGATTTTTTCACGAACAAATCTCATTCAAAAATAAATAAACATGAATTGACATTGATACCAGCTTTTAGCACGCGAAAACTCTCAAGGCAGCGACAATAATGCCATGAGGGTATGCGGGACATACGGTTGTGGCAACAGTGGTCGGTTACCAAAACTACGCACTGTAAACATACACATCGATCTCAGACGGTCATTACGTCCCTTTTATGCCCTCTTACTTATGTATGGATCCTAACTGGTTTATTGTTTATGCATTAATGGCTACTTGTACGCCTGATGGGTATGGGTTTATGGGAGTGATAATGTTTTATCGGAAAACGTGCACATATAGGGTGGGGGGATATAGTAGGTGGCAGTTATCAAATCTCGTTTAATTAATTATCTTTCTTAAATTTTTTTTATGACCACCATTTTCATTGGAGGCATATTGCAGTGACCATATCCGTACGTCTGTACTGTATTTAAGTTTTAATATTCATGTTAGCTCAAAAATATCAAAGTTTACCTGAAACTTCTTATTCATAAGTTCCCCAAGTTCTATACCAGACATATATCAGTAAAAATTTTAAATCGTCCCGATTACTTCATAAACAAAAGTTAATGAATATTAATGAGATTCTGCATGTACCTCAGTGTTCACAACAGTTTGACCACATCAAATTTTGACATCTGTCAGTCAATTTCTTGAGTTACAACTTCCAACTCTTTCATGACTTAGAAAATCTGTAAGTTGGTCTGAGGTCCTGGTTTTGTTTTCCGTTCATAATTGAATGTTTGCTTGGAAATCACTGTTCATAGTAGGTAGAAGAAGTTCGCTAATACCAGTAGTCAGTGTTCTGAATGAGTCTGTGTTCTGGGCGAGTCATGGCCGCTTATTGAGAAAGTCGGTAATAAAGGACGCCCTGCCATTCATGTCATTGGTTTCCGTTCCACTTACACGTATCTTAAGTTGTTGTTTAACGAAGTTGTATTTTTAAAATAAAAAGTAAGTACGACATTTAAAGTTACTGTCCCCTTGATGACTAAGGGAAAACTTTGAAAACCCTTTCTCAGACCTAACCATGAAACTGGACACTCGTTCATCCCCTGCAGGAATAGCTCATGTATTACAAAGTAATCCTGATTGACTCTCCTTGCCATACCTGTCCAGGGCGCATTTATTATAATTTCATGTGTGAGTGTTATGAGAGAGAAGGATATCAGTCGTATATCGATCAGTAAATAGCTTTATGAAACAAGCGTTACACGTAGGTTACGCACCACCTTGTTCCTTCTCCTGTCCACTGACCTACTTCCCTCCTTCATCGCTTGCCGTACGTCTCTATCGTCATAATGCATAGGTTCGTGACCATTCGGTGGAACACGCCCAACGCCTGTCGAAGCCTCATTGTACTGCACTAATCAATAATTCATGGACAAATGTAATAATTAATATAAATAAAGGCCTTAAATTAATCTTAATTGTAGCAGAGGTCACGGTCCTTTTGCATGATTGGCAGCCGTATTTCATTCAAAAAAATGCCTTTGATGATTTAAAACATGGGTCAGAAAATAAATTGCAAATTGAGAGAAAAGCGGGGTTGTAGGTTTATTTTGTGCTCAGATCTCAGTTGTTGAAGCACATGAATACATTATAACAAACTTAAACAAACATTTACAAATTTTATAAATGTAACATTGGATTTACGTTAGGGATAGTGTGGATACGTTCCGCTGTATACTAAGCCTTCGGTACACATGAGCGCAGCATGACCGGTACTGCACTCGACCGCCTTCACTTCCCGGAGTTAAAATCTTGTGTACGTATTTACAGCTGGGATTGTCAGGGGATCGAGCAACCCATCCTTGGAACAGGAGACGAGCGCTGTATTCACTCGACCGCCGTTCTCACTTTGCTTCGTGGAAATATCTTAAATGATTGTTTTGAGGTACCATTCCTGACCTAGATTAGCCCTCTTTTTTTCTGTGTGCACCTCCCCCTTATAAAATTCGATGTCCCGCCGCAGTTACTGTTTCATTCCAAACATCTGTGTTTTATCTTAATGGTTCATTTTAAATATAATACTAAATCTTTGTGTCCAAATCAAGATTTCAAATTGAAAATATATTATAGTCAATAGTCAGTCCAGTATGGCAGTAAAACAGTTAAAAGAGTTGGATATAGTCTTAAATTCAGAGACTTCGGGTAATTTGATAAATTCAGTTCTTGCTTTGCTTCTTTGGGTTTGCTGGCCGTCAACGTGCTAATTCAGTTTGGTTTATTTTATAAAATAGCTCCCCTAAATTCGTTTTCTGTATAGTTAGAGTATTAAAGAAAATGTAATTTATAGTTTTTAAGGCTAACCTCAACTAATACACACGATATATCAGTTTCATTTATGAACTGTGCAGTATATACAGTATTTACTTGTTTATGCTAAGGCAGCGGAAAGGTGGGGGAAGGGGGGGGGGGGTTCTAAACTTCATTTAAATGTGGAAGAAGCTTGGGGGCGCCTGATAAATCGTAGTCCTTCTGCTTTATTTCATTCTTATAATTATATAATATAGTCATCTCATTCATAGATAGCTAAATATTTATACATCAAAGTCGTTTCTACATTAGATAAATAAATACACTGGCTGTACAAAAATTCGACTGTTTAATTGCTGATAGCCCTACCAGTAATAAAGACAGGAAACATGACGACATAATCCCTACATTAAGATTTTATATTTATCTAACACCTGGTTATCTGTCAAAGAAACTGTACAACTAACACATTTTTTAGCATATTCAGCCACAAAGCGCGTGTTCTCTTCAACTTTCTTTTTGCCAAGAATTAGAAAAGGAAACCTAGTTCATATCTTAACAGCTTTCTTGGGCTGTCTTTGGTTGAGATGTTTGTATTACTTCACTGGCTTAGCCCATGCCGAACCAATATGAACATTTGTGTCTATCTTACTTAATACTGTATCTATCTATTTATCAATCTATATCGATCTTTCGGGAACTCTGCTGATAGCCCGGGGAAGCGAGTTCAGTTATTACACGTGTTTTAGTAGAGTTGAATGATGACAGTGTATTATGATCTGTTATATGACGTTCTGTTATAGGAATTATTTTCTAGGTGTGTGAATCACATATTTGATACGATTTATTTTTTATTAGTAATGTTATCCCTAAAGAGAAGATTAAGGCTACATTACATATTCACTGTATTGTATATTCTCTTAACTCGTGAGGGTCTAAATTAAAGTTTTCTTCCAGTATGGTTGACCTGGTGAATTATTTACAGGAAGAAAAGAATGACCGAGAGCAGGGGCAGTAAATGCGGCGAAACAATACCAGTATATGAGGAGAACACTAGATAACAAATCTCAGACCTCTGTGCCTAACTCGCTAGACAGGCAGACCAGGTTAGACACTTGTGTAAACTATAGATCACGAGTTTATTAACCTAATGCTGTCTTATGTTTTAATTTCTGCCATATGTGAATATTTTGTCATCCATAAAGAGAAGATTAAGGCTGCATTACATGTACTGTATATTCTCTGTACATCATTTGCTTTTACTCTCTTTGTACTTTTATCCTCTTCGCCACTGATAGGCTTGTTAGCAGGTTGGGCGATCGGTCCGTCTCAGTTACGCACTGTTGGCAAGTACTGGGCATGCACTGGCGCCTGAATGTATCTGAACCTGCCTCAGTGTTGGTCAAGTCAGGTATTTACGGAGATGACCTAATGGCCACCCACTAGAAGTGGCCCTGTCGAGGGAAGGAAGCCTGTGTACGATCCTTCCTTTGTTCTTGATAGTAACGGTGTAGGGGGGCAAATGATGTTGGATGTATTATTTATTTTAATCTTCTCTTATGTTATACTTTATGTGGTGGCAAATTCTCCCTTCTTTTCTCATTAAGGCTGATATTTTTTACTGTAAATTTAGCCCATCTCCATTTTAAAAAATCATCTTATTTTAAATACTGTACACGTTTCAATAGATATTTGTCTCTGAATTTTCATTGAGTAATCATAAACTATACATAACTGTTTTTACTGCAGAAAACATATTTTCAGTTACTGGTCTTGTGCAGCAATCAAACAAAGAAGCGGGAATGCAGCAAAATGCAAGTAGATGTATCGCTCGAAGAGGTTCCCCTTCAATGTTTCCGTTTTCTGTGGTGTAGGGTGATGGTGGGCCGCGCTGTGCTGCCACCTGGAGGAAACAACGCCAGGTAGCTCAGGTGAGGTGAAGTTTGAGTCAGTGTGTGCTGGACGTGTGTGTAGCGATGACCGACCAATCTTTTAGACGGGGTTGAATGTGTTTTTACTATTTTAACGATTTGTGTTTTTATTTCGAAGAATATCAATGGAGCGTCACATAATATTAGGTAAGTACAGCTTTACGATTGTGTAGTTGGTGAAGGTAGCGAGTTTGTGTAAAAGTTGGGTGGACGTACCTGAAGAGTCAAGCAGGTAGACGCTAAACTCAGGCAGGTGGTTGTTGTCTGAGCCGCCACTGCCGTCGATGGAAGGTGTGGCTCAATTACAAACTTTTTAGATTTACAAACACAACTTCATTCATTCTTAATCAACACAGTGACGATAAAACGTAACATGTTGGTGTGTGTCGTGTAGGAGTGTTGGAATATTAGTGATTCACTTGGGGACTGAATTTGTTTCTGTGATGAGGAGAGTACAATGCCCGTTCACCTCAGGAGATGTTCAGGAGGCGGCAGTTGGCCAAGTGAGTTGAGGGCTGGAGGCCTGACTTCTCGGCTCATCACTTGATATCTTTAATTACTTTTCATAGTCTAAGGTATTGATACCTTCAGCCTCACGCACAACATGGCTTCACCTGCGGATACACGGGGTTAGGGATGTAAACATGTGGTTTGCCTTGTTCCGGGGGTGAATCATCATCACCTACTGTGGTGCAATGTAAGTTAGTGTGAGGCGACACGCGAGGGTGGACCGTGATGACTGACCTGAGGAGTGTTAGGTGATTCCGTGTAATACGGGACTTATTTGGGAGGGGGGGGGAGGGGTCACCTGCATCTTCATGGCTTTTCAGAAAGTCATAATCTCTATCTCTCACTCTTCAGTTATCATTTTTTTTATTAAGCCTAATTAATGCCCATGTTACGTCTACTGCGAGCAAGGACTAACCAAAATCATCCTGATAATGTAAGAATTATTATTTTTTTTACTTTAGTTAGACCAGCTTAGATTGGTTCGTTTCGTCTGTCGTCATTAATGGTTCAGTCAGATCTGTCCCGGATAACTACATCCTCCTCGTCCTATTCTGTTTGAAAGAGTTGTGGCTGTATATGCAGATTTTCATCCAGTTCTTGAATGTTAATACCGGTAGGTACTGAATCCGATTAGTGGCTGTACGAAGTATACATACAATATATTCCCCAGAAATGTTCGTGCGCGACATGTTAACTTACCCAGTATTTCTTAACACCGGGATGGGCTAAAATACATCTTATACGTTTGTAAATAGAACGAAGCTTGTGGTGATCTAATAAATTGTTTATCATTAATAAAAAGGACTTCACTTGAGATGGGCTTTTAACGTCTGCTGTGTGAAGCTTCAAATATACTGTAAGTTGGACAGAGGTGTGAGCGATAAGGGTAGCGTGTAAACGGGGCTGCCTAATATTGTGGCCCTTAGTTCCGCTGCAGTTTCCTCCATTCTTATGTTCTTATGCCAGGTATCCTTGGTTGAATCAACTTACTGTTTACCATTGTTTGTAATGCTGTACTCGATGTACTGTATATACTGAACAAATGTTAATTTTTATGGCGAGTTTACTAAATATCTGTATACCTGTAGTCTTGGTTAAGATCGTGTAAAGGAAAGATTCACAACAACGTAACTGATCAAAACTCACTTTAAAGGCTTCTGTGTTCTAATGTGGGATTAATGTCCAGGTATGACAGGGTGTATTTTTGGAGGTAGTAGTGGTATACAGGCAAAGGAAACACGAAAAGATGATGTTAAGAAGGAGAATTGAAGCTTATTCCTGTGGGGGCTGCCAAGCCTTTAGAGGTGTGGTGAGGGAGAGAGGTCAGTGTGTAAGTGGGAGAGCCGTGGATTGCGAGGGGGGGGGGAGGCGGGGGGGTTTGGGGGAAGAGGATGGACAAGGTTGTGTCAGGGATGAGGACTATAGCTTAAGGAGGAAGACAAGAGTGTTCTTGCCTTCTCATGTAGTGTAGGATCGGGAGGGGGCGGTCCTGTTCTTGTTTGGAGTAGTAACAGAGGCGAGAGGAAGGGGAGGTCCTGCTCACTCGTGTGTTGCAGGATCAGGTTACAGCAGGTCATACAGTTCAATAGCAAACGGCACCCCCGGGCTTGACCCTCTTCACACGCGCCCCTAGGTGTGATGAACGCACCCTATGGTCCCCATCGGCCCTATGGAGCTGTTGTCTACAAGATGCGCGCGCAAATTTTTTGGCTGCTCCAAGTCAACCAAGCTACGTGCTTAATGTGCCTTAATGCAGCCAATAAACAGTGCTTTTGCACCCTTTTTTAATTGTATCAGAAGAGAAGTAAGAGACGGCATCTAGTTAAGGTATATTCTCTTGTTTATACCATATTCATTAACAATTATTCATATAGGAATTTACAGTGATGAGAATTTTTTAGGCTACAGATTTAAAAAAAAATGTTGTATACAGTTTGTCAGTGGAAATTTACAGCATAATTTTTGACGGTGAAACGTTTCAAGGCCATTTGTGGCAATATTACAGAACTTAACTACCTTCTACAACACATACACTTCACTAACTTCTTAATGCTGTAGCGAAAACTTACTCTGCAAGTATTTGGTCGTGGGAACATCTTTTTTGTTCCAGACGAGTTTCTTTTTTCTCAAAGTAAAGTACAGTACAGGGCGAGTGCCTGTGTTCTTGATCAAGCTGCAAGTGTTATTTTCCGAGGAATATTTGTGAAAAAGTTTAATGGGTACATTTCGAGGCGAGGCTGACAGGAAAGGTTAGTTGTATTTTGCTTTAATGTTTGCCGAGCTGAAGCTAATCATGATGTGGTATATTGATAGGGCATGATGACTGATAATGAATTACTGTATTATCATTGTGTGTGTAATGTTTTATATTGGTTTACGGTTTATTTCTGAACATTAGGTACAGTTGTGAACAAAAGTCTCAACTCTTGGAAATATCTGGCGTCTACTTCTGGGTCATATATCTAATAACGCTGCGTTTCATCACTTAATATATTGAAGCCACAAGAAAGAAAGAAAAAAAACACTCCCGAAAACAAATAAAAATAGAGAAAATACGTTTAAATTCCAATCCCCCTCACCTAATGATCCTCAAGGTAATTAAATGCCAAATACTGTACTACCAAGTGTCTAGGTAATTTTGAATTCAACTGTGCATATACCAGTAGATCCAACAGAACAAGTTAACCTACTGGTGTATTGATAGTGAATGACGAATAGTGATAATTATTTACCCTCGTGTGTGTTTCGTGGACTTGCGGCATGAGCTCTTATTGTATTAAGTAATTAAGACATACGTGCTGTAATCTGTAAGAATTTAGCTCACTAACAATACAACAGTAAAGTTCCCTGGCTGTTGCGGTTCTTAATTAAGGAGACGTGTTACATAAGGGACTTGTATATGTGTGTTGCTCTGACAAGTCTTACCTCGCAAACCCATCGTACTGTGTGTATACCCACTTACACATAGAATGTTTATACTCGAAGATGAATTAATCTAGTTGGATTTTGGTTCGTTTATTATTCCATGGTGGGATTTTGTCCAAATATTAACTTTCTGGTGGGATATTGTCCAAGGGCGTAAAACTGTCCGGTAATGTTTTGTCCGTGAACTGAATTTCCAGTCAGGGAGTTGCTGTCTTAAATGTCGCTCACTTACAGGCTCAAGGTGAACCTTCCCTCCCAGCTGCTCTCACCGCTTCCTCTTTCTCTCGTTTTTCATCTTCCAGCTTTCACATCTTCCACCTCTCACCTCCTCTTCCACTTCTCTCTCATACTTTCACCTTCTCTTTCAACCCTTGCAATTCTCTCGCCTACTCCCACCCCCTTCTTTGTTATTATTGCCTTTGTTCTCCTTCCCTTCGTTACATTTCCTCTACACACCCTCCGTCTATGTATCGAAACTCCACTCCCTACCGTCCTCCTCCACCCTCAAGTACCAGCCATCTCCTCCTACACCATCGCCCTTGAGGACCAGCTCTCCACCCTCGAGTACCAGCTTCTCCACTCTCATTACTTCACATTCCTCCACTTTCAGTACCACCTACACTCACCTCCTACATCACTCCAAACAGCCAATCCCTCCAGCACTCCACTCATCAACTTACCCCCTCCACCTTTCCTACCACCATCACCACTACACCCCACCTCCTAACACCCACCCCCACCGGCCTCACTTGCCCCTCCCTCACCACTATCAGCAACACCTCCCCCCTCCCACCACCAGCACACCTTCCTCTCCCCCCAGCTTCACCCCCCACCAACAGCTTTGCCTCCCCCACCACCTAAGGGGGGAGGAAGTTGTGTCTTGTGGTCTAGTGACACAACAGGAGGTCGACGTTCACCTGACCTCCCTCACCACTTGTACTGCATACACAAGCCTCCACTCCCAAGCTCTCATACACACACACACCTACACACACTTCCAGGCCTCATACACACGCTCCTACTGTACATACCCCCCTAGCCCGCAGACACACTCCCTCAGCCCTCATACACACTCCCTCAGCCCTCATACACACTCCCTCACACACCCACCCACCCACCATCATAGAGATACCTACAAAATCATCCACCGACATTAGGATGCGTCACCAGCCTGGTCGTCTTCTCTCAACTCCACCCAACAACGTCAGCTAGAGAAGGTACAGAAAAGGGCCTGCAGAATCATGCTCGGCGCAGGATACTCCGGCTACACCAACGCTCTCTCCACCCTGGAAATGCCATCCCTCAGTGACCTCCACCACCAAGCATTGGAAAGGTTTGGCAGGGGACTACTGCACCACCCTCGTCATCGCCACCTCCTGCCACCGGCAGCACCCCACCCACCTCGCGCAGTCCGCTACTACAACAAAATTCAGCCCATAAGAGCCCGCACCGATAGATATAAGAACAGCACCATCCCATCTATTGTTAAAATAATAAAAAACTCCTGATTTATGTACTGTACAGCCCTGTAAATGTATTCACTGCATATTATATCATTATGTCTAAATCAAATGTAAGTGTATATTTTCAGCCACCGGCTGCAACTCTATTAATAAACCGTTTATTATTATTATTATTATTATTATTGGATTTCCCTTTGATTGAGGTCAGGTCAGGTTTGGGTGCGAAGAGCCTAATACCCCTTAGGTCAT